CTGAATGCGCGCCTCGTCATCATGCACAGGTGTATCGATAGTGTCAAAGCGGTAAGCCGCATCGAGGCGAAAGCCGAATGAAGCTGCGATAGAGGGGATATGCAGTAACCCAACATTGGAGTGTACGACCCGGACACTATATCCAATACCTCTGAAATCGCAAGCAACAAAGAAGTCTCTGCGCCAGGAGTTGACCGAGGCAGGCGGAGTGCCATGCAGCAGCGCAAAAACCCCAACAAAATGTGAACAGACGTTCCCTCGGAACTCGAGTGAGGGCGATGGAAAGGCACAGATGGTGCATTGGCCTGGGAGGTAGTCCCAGATGGTGTGTATCGCCTCGACTGGTGTCTGCCCATAGTGGTGGTGTGATGGCATGAAGACACGTTCGCTTCCGTGTTGGACCAGCAACCCCTTAGCTGGATGGATGGTCGGGACACAGTGTGCTGGGCACCACGTGGTTCTGTCTGCAAACAGCTCTTCAGCAAGTTGCCGCGACAGCCAGGGTTGAGTAGGCCAGCGACAAAGTATGACGTCACCGTCGTTGAGGAGCAAGGGCATGTCAACAGTCCACGGGGTAGGATCATTGCCGACATGGGTGAGTATGTCGTGCTCGGAGTACGTCGATTGTCTCTTGACATGCTCAATGAACTCCTCATACGGAAGAACCTTGGGTAGGAGACATGCATAGTAATGTCCCCCGACATGGCTCAGATCGAGAATAACCGCGGCATGTGGCGCCCGCGGGTCGTTGCATGCAACTGATGGAAATCTGATAAAGCCACCTGTGCCAGCAAAGCGTAAAGGCCTGGTTGGCACACACATGTCAAACAGGTCGGGCACAACTCCTGGTGCTTCCCGGATGATGGTGTCACAGACATGCTGAATGCCTTGATCCCTATCACAACGAATGGCAACCCTGACTGTCCGGCAATGCGGTGTGAAGATCGTGGCCCCGAGCCACTGCGCAGGCTGAGCGTCAGCCGGTCCTGTCGGGGCAGCATCAAGGCAGACAAGCTGATCCTGTTGATTGGCAGACCAGGTCCTTCCTATTGGAAGCGGGGGTCCTATCACATCCGCTAGTTCGTCGATGGGTATCTCATGGGGCCGTCTCGTGTCACCCGTCAACGAGGCAGTTGCTGGTGCCGCCCGGGCTCCTTCGGGCAAGAAGCTCAATGCAACAGTCAGAGGAAAGAGCGGGTGTCGAAATGGAAGGGCTGTGACATGAGAATCGAAGACCCCTATAGTGAGAAGGCAGAGCCGAAGGAGCGCATTCCGTAGAAGAGACAGAAAGCTTATGTCTCGAGTAGGGCTTCTTGTCTGTCTCAGCCTACTCCTATGCCCGGGTTTTGGGCAGTGGCATTTTCTCCAAACTATAGGGCTATGTCCTGTCTCAGTAATGGTGCCAATGGCGAGTGCGACGCACCTGACACACTTGAATCCTGGCCGCCGCAGACGAGCTGATTTCCCAATGCCACTGTAAAACAATGTCATGAGCAAGGCAAGAAGGCAGATGCCAAGGCAGCCAAGCGGTAGTGAAGCAATGTGAGCCAGCCCGTTTGGTTGGAGCCAAAAAGGATCAAGGGAGACGTGGAGGAGGCTCCACATCAGAAGAGCAACAGCCCATGCTCTGTGTGGCGTGTTGGCTGCAGTGGAACATCCTCGGAGAGACGGTGTGATAGTGACTCTATATCCGAATCTCATTGAAAAATCGAGGAAACAGTCGCCGAGCTCACTTAAGTCGAAGCAACCCGAGCGACGCAGTGTGTCTCTACTGGCAATTGTAAGCCCAAAACCACCGCAGAGCAAAAGGATTGCAGGCCAGCCTAGCAACCCGGAGGGACCTAGGACCCCAAAGAGGGTGGGCCTAAACCAAAAGGGGTGTGGAAAGGAGAAGCCAATCTGGGAGTTGGTGGACGTCCCAGAGCCACCGATACGTCTCTTCGGCACGCAACCACCAGTTGGCGAAAAACACACGACCTCAGCAGAGGGTAAGCGAGCACAGGGCGAAGGAGGCCACAGAACAGCAACAGTCAAATGCTGTCTGTGTCCTCGCGAGGAAGAACCAACACCCCAGTCGCGCTCAGTTGCGAAAACCCAAGCAACAGAGGACGCCTGGTATGTCATAGAGAGGGTAAGACCAGACAACGGAAGAGGTGCGCCGACCACGACACCTTCAGCTCCAAGAACCGTACGACCGAAAGCCCCCTTTTGTAGGTGGACTAGACTATGAACAGCTGCACTGTACAAGCTTCCGTGCCAGAGCTCGAGTAGGGTCACAACATCACTGAGCCCGTACTCACCAGAGCCACAAGAGGTGTCAAGCCCGAGGTGCAGCTTGGATTCAATGGCTACACCCAATCGTAGCCGAGAGAATCCGGGGCTCCCCAGGCGGCATCTCTCATGTGGATGGGAGGCAGAGCAAAGTGACTCGTGACCATACCGAGGAAACTGCGTTGCACAGAGTCCATGTATGGAGCCTCTCATTCCATGTTTGTCAGGCCCGGAGAACACGGGGCAGCATTGCCTGTGGGGTGATCCCCATCGTCGTCTTCGACGAAGCCGGGTATGGGCCCAGGAGTAGTGGTTGGCGTGGCCCGTCCTGGAGCGACGGAGTCCACTGCGACATGAGTGGGATCCAGCCCTGGTGGCATTTGGCGAAATGGTTGCATCGCCCTGCCCATCTCCTGCTCTCTCTTCTGCTCGAGTTTCTGCGAGAGTGTAGGCCCTGCCAGCGTCTCCTGGTGCGTAGAGCCTTTGCTGGCCTCTTTGATGGAGGCCCTCGGTTGCTCTTCGTTCGCCGGCACTCTGGATATCGTTGGGTCGCGTTGCCCCGGTCGAAGCGGCGCACCCCTGCGACCGGAACCTGGGGTCGGAGCTTCCAACGTCGGCTTGTTCGGTATCGGAGAGGTCGGGAACGGTGTAGGTCTCGTCAAGGACGTCTCCGGAGGAGCAGCGGAATAGTCTGTCGCCCCATCCACTTCCATGTGCCCGTGCCCTTCCTTCGACTCTGGGGGCACGGGAGTCGGCGCGGAGTCTGGTGGCGGTCCTGTGGGGGCGGCCGTCGATGGCAGCCGATCTGGGATGTGTTCTCCCAGAAACTTCCTCAACACATTGAGCTCCTCTGGGGTGGCAGCTGTCATAAGCTGAATCGGCCCATGCCCGCCGCCGGCGGCAGTAGTAGGCCTGGAGTCCACCCTTGTCGGTTGCAAGGTAGACTCCTCTGGAATCGACTGGACAAGTCGACTCCAGTCGCCGAGAGCACTGTCCAGGGTCTTGTCTTCCGAGCTGGAACGTGCCATTTGTGCCGCGAGACGCCCGACATAGTCCTTGGCAGCTTCCTGGCTCACATGTGCTTCTCGAAGCTCTCCCTCCAAACGGTCCATGTCCGCAAAGTGCCGTGCTTTCTCCTCTGCAAAGGAGAGTTGGGCCGCCTTCTCGTAGGCTGCCCATCGGCGGTCCTTCTCCTGACGCTCCTTGGTGATGCGACCCATTCGTGCTTCCGCCTTGCGCAGTTGATTGACTGCAAACTGCATGTCCTTGGTCTGCGGGTCTTCCGGCGGCACCAAAAGCCTGTGCTGTGCCGGTTCCGATATCTCTACCAGGGCACGTCCATCCTTCCAATCGCGATCGTAGGAGGGAAACGGCCGGGCCTTGGATTTGGCTTGGCTCTTGTCTCGGCCCCGAACTTGTGGCGAGTCCACGGTGCGATATGAGCCAGGCCATAGAGAGTACGAAGATCGTGAGGGTCTGGAGGCATCCTCTCGCCATGGTGCCTGAGCCTTGCTTTTGGCACCTCGACCCATACGGAGGTGTTCACGTATCCTCGCAGCAAAAACCCTGCAAGTGGCGTGGTGGCCAAGCAGGGGTTGTGCAACCTGCAGGGGCAATGGCTTTCCCCTGGAAGCAGCGAGACGCACTCGCACTCTGGCAGTTGAGCGCTTCTTCCGCGCTCGTCGATGCCACGGTGGACTTCTCAGCGCAATGGCGTAAGGCACCGGTCGTGCTATTGTAGCACTGGGGCAAAGCAATCCCGCTGTGGGTCTTCTGAGCCCTACATATATATATATATATATATACATATGCACATGCAGTATAGCTTTGAAGACTCAGGAACCGCATGTTCTTACAATCCCAATATCAGCGTTCTCGTGTACTCCCAGAGCCCTGTTCTAATTATTGCGGCTCCGATGCTGGATTGGCATCTGGGCCGTAGCGCTTGACAATCTAGGACCCACCAGTGCTTTTAGGGTTTATGGCTTTAGCTTTTGGTGGAAGAGGACTCCGTTACGTGGCTTGTTGAGGCAGCATACGGGTCTTAAAAAGGCTTTGCAAGGGGTCCCGGTCAAGAGTTTGGACAATTCAAGGTTTAGGGAGCTATGGCTTTTCTAGTTTAACTGTTTGAGTCTTACGGTTGGGAGTGTAGGGTTGGAAAACTTGGAAATCGCAGGATCTTCAGGCTTTGGGGATCACGGCTTGGGGGATGCGCTGCTCCACTGCTATTCTTGCCCAAACAGTGCCCAAACAGAACACATGGCAGTCGCACAAGAGGCAAAGTAGCAGAAACCCTTTCAGCAGTACAGGTACCAGGCTTCGCAGCCTGCGATGCGAATCCCGCCTAGACAAGAACATGACATCAAGTCAAATGAGACAAGGTGGGAATGGAAGCAAGGTGCGTCCCAACATCCCCATAACTCGAGCAAGCTTTTTTCATAGAGGTCTGCAGCATAAAATGACGGTCTAAAGTTGAAGTGTGGGTAGTTCTCCAAAAGAGTATTTACGCTCATAGCACGGGACATCGCAATCTGAGTCATGGCGAAGAGATCGTGGGGAAGGCCGGGTATAAAACACTTAGGATCTTCAGTCAAGTAAAGAAAAATCCTACCATAGTTGAGGTCCCAAGCGCATGCTTCGTGGGTAGGCGCAACTAGGGCTGAAAACACGTCGAAAGGGGCCACAGGTAAGCAGTGCATGCAGTCCTCCAGGGGCTCCGGATGTCCCGCCTCGTCGGTGTCCGAGGCTTCCATAGCACCCAAAGGTTTCACCTTCACTTCCATCGACCCGTAACATGCTGCGTTGCTGAAAAGTCTGTGATCTAGGAACGTTGTACGACAAGACTAGAGTCGGGAGTCGCAGAAAGTGCATGACCCTGCTACCAGCCCTCAGTCGTAGGCTCCGTGCTTTTAGAATTCTTAAGTACTGCAACCCTCCTGGATCCCCATTTCTGTATTCGACAGGCCTTAGTTAAATAACATTTTGACTGCTGGTGCTGTTGTGACCACAGTACGACTCAGATGTCTCCATAAGTGCCAAACAGCGAGGGAGGGGGAGAGAGAGAGAGAGAGAGAGAGAGAGAGAGAGACGCAGAGGGAGAGGGAGAAAGACAGGCAGAGGGAGGGAGGCAGAGAAAGGGAGACAGACAGACAGACAGACAGACAGACAGACGGGAGACGGACAGGGAGACAGACAGGGAGAAAGACAGAGAGGGAGAGAGAGAGAGAGAGGGAGAGAAGAACGTGAAAGAGAGAAAAAGAGGAGCAGAGGGAGCGAGGGAGGGAGGGGAGCAAAGACAGCCTGGATGAAAGAGTATATAAGGCTTGTTCTTTCATTCAGTGCAAGTTGGAATCTCCGTGTAACCCGAGGTTCGAAGCCTTCTTAGCCGGTTTGCTTGAAACGCATGTTTTCGTTCCTGATGTGCACCTTACGATGGAACTAAAGTTTCTAGCGCGGCGCCGGTGTATCTAGTATGTCTGTGCACATGTACCTACTCATGTCAAACTGTGTACCTTGCGAAATCTAATGTGCCGTCTTTATAGTGTAAGGTTGAAACACTGAACAAGGGCTCCAAAATCTTCTGCAAATGTAAGGTTGCAGGGCAAAAAGTGAAAGCCGCCACTGCCCATCCCTGCCCCGAAGACTCAACCCGCTGAGTCCTGAAGGTCCTGAAACGCTAACGCCCTTGGACCCTAGGGCCTTGCCGTTGCGCCCAGCCTTCTTCGCAAGCAGCACGCGACCTCTCACAAACGGACTGACCCGCCGACATGAAAACTAGATGAAGCCATCTTTTCCAAGATTATCCCACATTTGGGACCCGTTCAGTTGTTCTGAGAAAGCCCCGGGGAAATACTGATTGAAGATGTAAGCTTCAAGCAGTTTACAGTGAAGCCCATACCCTGGGCCGAACCAACATGGTAACCTTTACTATGTACATCATGTTATTCATGACACTACTGATGTGGACCCTTTGTTCGCACCCCTCTTCCTTTGAGCACCGTACCATAATTCCAGAGCAGAACCACAATCAATGTCATTCAAGGGCTACGTCGGAACGGTGGATAGCTTGCCATGCATCTAAGAATCGCTGGGCTTCTCGGCGGGCGGTTCGGGAGGAGCAGGGAGATTAAGTGAAGATTAAAGCGTGCGGGCTCTTTGGTTTCGGATATGTATACATGTACAACTGCTGCAGCCGGGGATCGCGCCAAAACAGCACTGCAAGCATCCAAAGACACGGCTAACCAAGGTTTATCTACACCCTGCGTACGAGTTGAGAAGAGCGCCAGGCCCTGACTTGTGCTCATGTACAACCTCGGCGTTATGGCAAATCAACATGAGCTTAACCGTATCACAACCTTTGAACACAGTACTCGAAACCTACTCAAAACGGCATAGCAACCTGCAAGACACCTCTGCAACACCCTATAAACCTCTTAAAAGACCCTTCTGGCACCTGGCCGCTGACCAGGCTTCCTGCTGCTTGCCTGCTTGGCAGCAGCTCGTGACCCCACAGAGTCTGATCAAACACCCGTACTATATCTTGAGGAAGATTCCTTCACGAGAAGGCCTTGGAGTCTTTCGGTCTCAAGGCTTTTCGCAACCTCATGATAGCTGCTGTTGCTGGTAGGTGACTATGACCATCATAGTACCTATTGCTGGTTGTAGCTTCTGGCCTCTGTGGTATTTGGGAGTATCGTGGCTGGCATGAGAAGAGCGGTTGATACGGCAGTCATTCTTGATTGTCGTTTGTGGGTGGTATGACTGTATGCTCGCAGGCCATTCGGATACTTACTCTACATATGATGCTTAACACTGATCGTAGCGTCTGGATACTCTCGGCCTGTCTGCAGATCATTGGGCATCCAAGCGATGAGCGCCGTGATGGGTCATAATTGTGCTGGTGTTGTCATGTCCGATGGATATTCTTGAGTCTCAACCCACATTCTGATACCTCACTGTTGCTTGTTGGTGTTTCATACCCACTAGCAGAGTGGGTCGGCATCCCGCGATATTCCTCTGGACCGCATCACGCGTTCGCATCTGGGATCGTCAAACACCGGCAACACCATCAACAACGAAAACTAAAGGATTGCTACAGAAGCCCAGCCGTTCTGTTTACAAGGCCGGTCTATCCAATCTTGCAGTCTGCACGAAGCCTAGATATGGCATGAGTTTGTGCCCGCATGCGTTGGGGATGTCACATACCCCCAAACCTGGCTTGGAGGTTCATGTGCACGTCAGAAAATCGGTCACAGCTGAGCTATGCAGAACCACATATATTCTACCCCAGTGAAGATACTTGTAGCCCCAGGTTTAGTGGGCTACGAACGTGTTGATGTTTTTTGGGGCTAACCTCCAACTGAACACGAAACCTTTCACGACCAAGGGATGATTTCCAGTTTTGGGTAATACTGGCTGTCTTGTCTGCATCGCTCATTATCATCGCTATTACTGTGTCATCATCATCTTGTTTCTACCACGCAGTATCACTTCTGTAGTTTTCCCGTCAATCACAGTCGGCTAGCTTGATTCTGATTGGTATTATTTGTTTCTTATCATGATCTGAAACCAATTTGACCGCTATCAATCTTCGGGAACAAAGACCTCGGTGGGTATGTTTTTGTCGGTTGCGTGAGCTGCATGTAAACTAAGTTGGGGATCCCTCGACGCTTTCAAGAAATATTCTTGGTTCAGAGAGTGGAGTCTTGGTTGCGGGCAAGTCTTTTACATAGATCCCAGGCGCGACCTGAAAACCGGCATTTTAGACCGGTCACGCGATACCGCCTAATTCCAGGAATTTGTGCTTAAACCATATAGGGCTTTTTGTAAAACAACCTGGTATAGGTTCCTGAGTCGAAGAGGAGTATTTATTGCGCGCTTTGGGAATGTTGCACGTCGCCCTGCTCCTACTCAGCTCGGCTCCTCGTGTGCTCGCGGCGGTGAATTCTCGCGGGATGTCGCTGCCGACCTTGACGTAGCTTCGGTGCACAAGGCGAGCCTTGAAAAGCATCTAAACTTGAGACAATGATCTGAACAGACAATCTAAATTGTCGGACCCTTAATCCCAGGCATTGGGTTCCCCTAGCTATAAGAAATCTTCACGCATTGTTTTCGGGGTGTAGGGCTACACTGCTGTATTCAAAGGGACGGAGCGTAAGAGTGCATATATAGTTCCAAACTTCTTTTGGCTAATTCCTTGAAGGCTGCTTCCAGCAGCAACGATGACAGATTTACTTGCAGAGGTCAAGGAGCGTCCGTAAAGCAAGATGAGACCCGGATCGAAAGTCGGACCCGCATGAACTGAGCAACATCTGGATGAGAAACTGACTGAACCCTTTATAAGTGGAACTTTGTGTTGAGGGTGTGAAGCTATCAGTTACAAGGTTCATAGATCAAGGGGGCCTGGAGCTAGAGTTCTACAGGCTTCTGACTCGACAGATTCATGCCGGCAACCACCCGCATCCCTTCCCTAAGCCCTATAGAACTCATGCAAACCCTAACCTTATCATTGAGCTTGGGACTCCTTTCTGCGATTTTGTTGACCATCTTGGGTGGAGATTAGGGGTCCCGGTCTGCGGAAACTCCTGGACTGCCGCAAAGGCGAGTGGGGCTCATTGAGGGTCAGAGGCTAGCTCACTTCGCACAACACGAACGGTTAGCGACCCTGTCTTTGTCCTTAAGCAGCGATAGTTATTATTGAACTATTCAAGTTGTGCAAACCGGGTCAAGGCTAGGAACATGAACATGAGCCCAATTCTGTGGTGCCGCACCCCTCAGTTCTTCGGAGCTTCAAACTCTGAGCCCCAAACCCAACCCCTGAAGACTTCACGGCTTTGGAAGCACAACCACGGGCCGCAGAAGCATGTGGCGAAACTCCCAACCCCTAAGCCTGTTCACTGTGGTGCCGGCAAGTCCGGTGAAGCGAAAGGCAAGCCTTGCAACAGGTCCGGGTGTCGAGGGGTGCGAGGACTGGAGTGTACAACAAGAAAACAGGAAAACCCTGATCACTTCGATTGCGCACATCGGGGGAAAGCTCCGAGAATGAGCACCAACAGTGAGTTTGCAGTTTGCTCCCTCTCCAGGGTTTCATGTCCGTAATGGCAGTGCAAATGTGCCACCCATCGGAAGCATCAAACACTGTGTGCCTAGAGCCACACTTGCTAAAACCTTCTCAGGATCTGTTTTGGTATCGTTAAACCGATGATCCTGTGGTTCGGGCTCCTGGATCACGAATAAAGTCGGAAGATCAAGGTCGCGACATACTAAGAGATTTTCATTGTCCGATTATCCCCATATATACTATGTACGATAGCCCCAAGCGTCTTACCCTCTAGGTTTAGCGGCTAAACTTTAGCCTTGAGGGTACAGGGCATGAGTAGGGTTGGGCCCTGCGCAACAGCAGCCGAGAAACTGCGGGATTCCGCCCATGTTGGCAGCTCCGGATCCTGCACAAAACTGGCTCTGTGGCTGAAGGGTCTGTGGGCAAAGACATTTCAGTCGTGCGGCTCCAGGGTCCTCAATTGCTCCAACAAACCCACTTATATTTGGTTGCAGGCAACGGGGTTGCTGCCGCTGCTAAGGTTTGAGCAGACGTGCCTGAAACTGCCTGCTTCTACGCAGGCTTATGCTAAGCATTTCAACTTGTAACTACTTTGTGGGGATTCTCGGGTTGTTTAAGTGTTTCTGGTGATCTTCAGACCGTACGGTCGGGAGAATTTGCAGTCCTACACATCCAGCACACCCAATTGCAACATGAATCGAGGTGGCTGGGGCAATTCCAAACTAAGCCCGCGAGGGTTCTGGGGGCGTTGAGACTGCTTCGGGCACGGGGCATAGTACAGGGTCAAGGGTGTAGAGGTTCAAAAGGGCACCTCACGCGACACCACTTCAAGATTCGACTTGGGAAAAGCACAGAGGCAAGTTAGTCAGTTTGGGATATCACCTTGGCTTGTCGTACGAGTAGGCTTTCGTTCGGACAACAACCAGCTTAATTGGCGCGGCGAGTGGAGGGCCGGAGGAAACAACTATATAAGCTTCGGGGAAGATTCTTTCTGGGGAAAGCCTGTCTTGGCGGAGACAAACAAAGTCTGGGTGCAGGAGATGGCTGTCGAGCGAGAAACTGAGTCGGTTCCAGAAGCGACTTAAAGGGAACCGAACAAACTCCTGCCGCAAACGTTTGTTTTTACAGTCAACACAAACTCTGAGCGGAGTCTGAGCGGTGGAGTTCTTCGTCACGGAAACAAACTCTGGCCAGGAGAATTGCGTGCTGTTGCCCAAGAACCAACAGTTGCAGCAAAATCTTAGTGCGGTGGGGAAACAAATGAGCTCCAGGCGCAAGGGTTTGCTTCTCCCAGCCAGAACAAACTCCGATCGGCGTTGAGCTGCGCGAAACAAACTCTACCATGGAGTTTGTTTCTCCCCTAGCCCAATTTATCTCTGGCTCAGCACGGAGATAGTGTCTTGCTCCGAAACTAGCGTCTCGACAGAGACAGAGTTGAAGTTTCTTTACTAGTTCTCCAGCACGAATTTCAAGGCTTCTTACGTGGGGGACTTGTAATTCACGAGACCTCCGTCTAGTCATTGTTTGTGCCTGGCCAAAGGGCTCCCACAACTCTGTTTTGCGCCTGAATCCCAGCGAACATCGTCGCGGCCGGAGAGGACGGCCTGAAGGAGCCGGAGCGAGGGAGGGCTTACAACATCGTTGCTTCACGGGCCGGGAAATGGTTTGGAGTTTGCAGTTGAGCGCTTTGTGCTTCATCTCGTGGCTTTTTGATTTAGGACTTCCGGAAGGCGGATGGCTAAGCCCGGCCCAAATCGCGGAATCTATCCAGCCGCTCACTGGAAACCGCTGTCGAAAGTGAACAAGATATGACTTGTCGTTGTGCTGGAGGAGCTGTGAGAGAGCTGAACGTCGAAACATGCGAGGGAAACAAAAGCTCTATAACAATGAACCGTAACTAACAAGGCATCCATGAACAACAAATTGCCCGGACCAGAAATAAGTGCATCAAGTGGAGGTTGCTAGTGTGAACTTGGTCTTACGGCTTCGGCCCGATTGGGCATTCACGGGAGACCTGGCAGAAGCCACACACACCATCACGGATGTTGATCAGTTCGACTTTGATGTGACAGGTCATGTTGTCCTGTTTAAGTTTGGGGCTCTGCCCCGTTTCTAGTGAAATACGTACCCTCCAAGGGACCAAACTCGTAGCGACCCCACTGAAGGCGGACGGCAAGATTTTGACAGGCTCTGCAGAGTGAGCTCCATGTGCGTCAAGAAACTCTCTGAATAACGAAGTCCTCTGCAAATGTATGTCACAGAGGAGTGAACCTAGTAAGCACGAACCTCGAGAAACCTAAAGAAACCAAAGGACCCCAGGCAGCGCCAGCCAATAAACGAACCGGCAGCAAATACATACAGGTATAGGGTAGCAGGCCGGCAAAAACCGTCAAGTTCAGTGCGCTGTTTTGCAACACCCCTGTACAAAAGCTCATGGAACTGGAACGAAAGCCGAAGAGCTAAACCCCAACAGCTGAAACGAACACTGAGAACCCTCTCTACATGCCCCATGCTGTCTCTTTCGATCCTTGATAGCTTTTGAAGACAGTCGAAGGGCCTGGATGTTTGCTCGGCCGCTGTAGACAAAGCGTCCTCCAAGCGGATGGGCGCCCGGAAATTCCCCAACTCCAAACTCCTCAACCGTGTATCCTGCAGCTCTAATTGCGTAACCGCAATGCAGTTTATGATTTAGGGTGCATAATCCTACCCCCGTGGGATTAGGCTCACACGCCTATAGGCTTTCTCATTTGCATAAGGTGTAAAGGCTTATGGCTTGAGGGCTTCACAATACGGATTTATCTTTCTGACTTAGAACAGGCCCCAGGCGATCTGTGGGCTCGATCAACCGCGCCGGACCTCAAGCGCGTAGGCGATGTTCTCCTCGGCAACGTCGAACCTGAGCAGGCAAGCTTCGAAGTCAGCCTCGACCCCAGTCCCCGGCAACGAACGAGGGTAAAGAATAAGAAGCTTCTATGGCTAAGGACTAATTCCTCAAGTTGCACCCAAAACATGGACAGCTCTGTGCCGGAGGCGAAACTCGTGACTCGGTACAAACCCTTAGGCCTTAAGCCGGCCAGGCCAGAATACGAACAGCAACCCGGAACCTTCCCAGGGCTCCGTGCATGGCTTTGGCCGCGCCGGGGGAGACTGCCCGAGGCGGTCGACAGCTGGGGGAACTCCTCGTGATTCGACTAGTCCGTGCTGCTAACCATGGCGGTCACCAGAAATGTAGATGTTCATAGTCGGCAGCTGTTGCAAGGAACAGCAGAGAACAGAACAGGCACATGGAGCAGAGCGTCATGAGCGCGGAGCACAGAGACACATACTGACATACTGCAAAGGTTCTTTGTCATGTTGTTTCTCTCATCGCAATGTTGCCAGCATCAGCTGGTTGATCTGCAAAACGCAACACCTTCTCTTCTAAGAACAACTTCGTATCTAGTTTGGTCTCTTCGAAACCAAAGACTTGGGATTCAGACAAGCAACATATTAGAAAAAGCCCTAGACCACCGGAGACATCCTCTGCCACATCTCCAAACACCATGATAAACCCGTATACAACCCCCGTAAAACATCATAAAACCTCCTGACTAGGCCAAGGTTCGTTCTGCTCGAACTAGGGCTTGCTAGTTGGTTCACCATTGCAGCCGGCTCGCCTGGCAAAAGCACTTAGGGCGTTCTGGGGGCTGAGGGATGTAGAGGGCTTGGCTTTAGATCTTTTTAGGTCGGAAATCTTCTCTGGCCTTTAGGGATGTAGCGTCACAGGACGTTGGACTTAGCCTATTAGGCGGCGTGAAAGGTTTCCTCGGCCTAAGGCAGGCCGGAGGTTGTATCATCAAGGCTCCATCGATGAACTTGCAGCTCAGCTTCAGAACTGTGTTGAGTTTTGCGCGGAACTCCTCGCGCATTCAGGGGCGTTTGGCTTAGAAGGTTACAGCCGTAACGGTTACGGCATAGACTTAGGGCTTGAGGCTTAAACACTATGCTATAGATAGGGCTGATGAAGCAATCTGCAGCACCTACAGCATCTTGAAACATGGGAGAATCAGCAGGATGGCCTCGGACAGCATGTGGCTATCCCTTCGAACCTTCCTGAACCTGAACCCCAAAACTGCGAGTAGCCCGCTGGAGTATTTAGTGGAGCTAAGAAACAGCCCTGGTGGCAATATTGCAATGTGGGGTTGCAGCTCAAGGTTGGTGTATTTAGTGTTAGATGGTGTGCATTTTCAAGACCACGGCTCTTGCACTACCTTCTTTTTTGCAAGTGTTCTGATTGCTAGTTCGCAGTCCTGAACTCTTCTCGACATCTGGACGACTCCGACCATTGATGTTGCAGAAAATCTTGAAGGGGCCCGAGATTTACCCAACCGTGAATGTGACAAGACCATGTGAAACTACTTGGAGCCACGCAGCAAGCTGCGAACGCCTCAACAACAAACTTACACCATCACAACGAAGGCGTCACGCCTCGGAACAGACTAACACTTAAAACGTGACCGCCAAATCCTACTGCACTAAACAAGGGGCCTGAACACTCTAGTGACATTACCCCTCAGGGTTCCCTGCCCACAATGACTTACAGCAGTTTTTACTCCCCGCAACCCTAGTCTCATCATTGGTCATTGATCCTTACCGACCCCATGAGCATAAGCCCTAAACCCAAACGGATGCCCAAACCCTGAAGTCCAACATCCTAAACTCGCAATCCAGGATCTCATGGGCACTAGCTCTGAGGGGCAGGCCAGGTGGCTGCAACCGCCTTGACACGGATTTTGTGCGCAGGCTTGCGACTTGGGGTTTAGGGTTCAGGGCCTCGACATTGTGGGAGCCACGAAGCACCTAACTAAAGCTAGACATTGAAAGCGACACCACCAATAGTTGATGTTTATTGGTTCTGTGGCCCCGAATTCAAGCTTCGCGGTGTAGTAGCACTTTGGGTTGTAAGTTCGCAGGGTTTAGGGCTCATGCCGCGTCTACAACGTGGTCACCTGGACAGAATGTCAATGCTTGCTCACCGGTGTTCATCACGATAAACTCTCTGCAGGTCGCGGTGTATGTTTTCCATTTTGGGGGTGTTTCAACCGAGGACACTATCCTTGCATGCAATCTGTCGCGCACGGGGCATGATGAGTAAGACAGGTCGAGACCGTTGTTCGGGGCGCCGAACGAGGCTTCACAGCTAAGAACCACTTTCTCGAAGCCCAGAGACCTTGAGATGAGGCCAACTCACGATTTATGGAGGGGTGATCGGCGGGGTATATTCCTGAATAGTGGGTTCTGGAGTGTCTCTAAAGCCTCTCAAAGGAAAGTTCCATAACCTGCCTAACTCACTCTGGACCGGAGTTTCAGGTACTTCTTTTTAGGGGTCCGTATAGGAACCATGCTACTTGTTGACATATTTACACAGCCCTTAGTCTCTGGAAATTCCTTATCGGGTATCGCACTTGGTAAAGTATGCCCAAGACCGTTCGCCCTATGCCCACAGCATGCCCAAGCCTAGACCCTCCACCCCAAACCCAAACTTTGTTTTCAAACCATGGCATGGGGAATGTCTATAAAACACTCTGGAACCCCGATGGTAAGGTAAGGTCGTGTTCACACCCTGTCAGCCCAAAGCCCGATAAGCAAGCTACACACGCACAACCACAGAACCCTAGAAACTCGGCAAAGCTCTTGTAAACACTAATATTAATAACCCGAAACTACTCTCTTGCGCCTTGGTCTTGGCAGGAGCTCCCGGCATCGCTGGGCTTGGCTTTCGGCGGCTTTCACCAAGCCCTTCATCGGAAGTTCGGCTGTTTCTGTTTCTCTGGGCGGTGGTTATGGGTTTTACTGTTAAAAAAAGTAAGTGGTGAACTCAACAACCAACTACAACTCCAAATAACCGAACACAAGTATGGATACAGATGCAAGTTTAAAAGGATAGATACGTAAGTTATACATATACATATAATGTGTGTGTTTTTGTGTGGGTGTAACATGATAATATACTGATCTGCTACTACAGTACCTGGGAGGCACTATGCATGTATATTGGTATGGTCTCAAGAAGTTTCTATTATTTTATGAAGTTGCTTTTTGGAATTTCAGGCTTGGCGATATCGAGGCCTTGAGAGTTTAGGTTTTTGGGGCTGTATGCAAAGAGTCAGCAGACAATCCGAGCGAGAGCGACGCCTGGAGCCTTTAGGGTCTTAGGGTTCGGTGCTTGAGGGTTTTGGGCTCTTAGGATTTCCAGGTAAGGGCTTGGGGCTTAGGGTTGACAGCGTTTGCCCTTCCGGGTGCAGTGTCCTGTTGCCGCGCCAGGGATGCCTCCAGTGCCTTTCCCTTGGCAGCTTGCTCCTGCACGAGGCTGTCTTGACTTCTGTGAGGCTTCACCAAATAAGAAACACTGTCGACAGTAAACCCTAATACTGCAAAGCCTGAACACGCGTAAACCTTGATCCCCAACTCGTGGAAACTACTCTCAACACATCGAAACCCCAGTGGGCTCAAGTAAACACCCTAACTACCCCAAACACCTGTTCATAAACTCCAAAAATGCACTTTAGAATCCAACACCCGGAAGGTTCACCTGAGGAGGGGATGGAGGCGCAATGCATGCCCGAACTCCTACATGTTTTAATGCAGCGCCCCAGCTTCTTTCATAAACTGTGCTTAGGTCCTTGTCTTTGAAAGCTCCAGGGTTTAGGGCTTGGGGAGGACTTGGGGTACAGACTTGCGGGTGATTGGGGTGTGGGGATTTTGTCTTGGGTTTGCAGCCTAGGTTTAGGGTCGATCCTGCATTTCCCGAGACACAATAGAGCCTGGATTCCCAATGTAACCTCGACAAACCGGAATCCTAAGCCTAAAACCTTGAAACCCAAAGCCAAACCTTACCCCCGATATGCATGGAACTAGAAGGATAAGGTTCAGAGTAATATGTACAGATATGTGATATGAACAGACAAATGTGGGGTCTTCATTCAGACGATTCAGGACAACAAAAGCCTGTGATAGATGGATCCCTAAGAACGCCAAATAGAGGACCCCTGATCTCGAGAACCTCCCTAAACCCAATCTACAGGCCCATACTGAAGCCTGAATGACAAGCGCGATAACACTCTATCAAAATAACCTGCAAGGCACTGTTCAACCCCTGTGCATATAACCCCCCCCCCCCCCCTCGCATACGTGCATAGCTACACCCTGACCTAGTGTCTTGCAGTCCTCGTCCTGAAAAACGTAGTCTGACCTTGGTGGCTACTCAGCTACTCTACTTGGCTACAGAAAGCTTTGTTATACTTAACTTAGGATGATTGTGATTGTGCGTTGACAAATACGGGTCCCTTTGGCAAGCACCAAGAGAGTGGCAGCCCCACTGTGATCCAAAAAGGGCAAAACTATGAATCAGGGATGTACATCAGAGTCTAGGCTACAAGTAGGGGGAGTGGAAGCTCTGGTCTTTAGGATTTACGGCGAATGATACCCTGGAGGGGCCAACCCCGCAGAAGGTGCTGCCCAACGACTGCAGGTGCTGATTCAGCCGCCGCTTTCCTCGTGCGCAGGTCCGACTGTCAAGATCCGTTTCGGGGCTTAGGATGTCGCCTGGTAGAGAAGTAGGAAAAGGACCATGCTACCACATGCTTCTACAGTCGGTGTTACTTCTGCAAGTCGGAAATCTTCTGTTGATGCTCATGGTGCTCCTGCTTCTTCGTGTGGTTCTCGTCAAGCAAACGCTGTCTCAAATGGAATGCTATGCCGCTCGCTCGCAGAGTGCATGCAGATGACTTTGCATTCCATGTGCCGTCACTAGTGCACTTTCTCTTTTTTTGGGGCGGTTTGGCACCGGCCAGGTCCTCTTGGACTAGACGGTCCTTCCAGTAGCCTCAATAGCATTGCTGTTAGCTGGTCTGTGTTCTTCTTTCTTTATTCAACACGGAACCCTGAAGCAAAGAGACCCAGAAGGGTCCTACGAAATTCATACTGCGAGGGAGCGGCGTTTCAATTGAACAGCGAATAAAACCAAGAACATGGAAAGACACAAACCCAACGTCCGAAGTTGTAAAGGGGCTCGGTAGCTGAAGCCCACGAGCCCCAGCTCCATCTTCCGAAGATCTGAAAGCCGCGAAGCCTCAAACGTCGAAACCTCGAGCTGAATGGCTTTCACTCGGAAATCCAACTGTTGACTGTTGCAGCAAAGCAACCGCTGTCAGGTTTCGAATGGAACCAAGACGGCTCTATAATTGCGGAAGCGGACACGAACCCGAACAGCTTCACGTCTGCATCACATCTGAAAACTTGGTTGTCCCCGGCCTGCTGGTGACATCGCCTCGACGAGGTCTAAAAACCTGGCAAAGAGGACAGCTTCGGGTCCGGGTGACCGACCCGGATGAGGGGTTTAAATCAAAGTTCAGGGCCGTGGGGATGTTGGATTTGAGGTTTTCGACGTGTCGATTTTCGCGCGCGAACTTCCAAGACCCCCTAGGACGCCGCGGTAGGGAGAGCACACGACAGAGCCCAAAGGAGGCGCATAGGTGTGGCCCTATTAGGACTTTGAGGACTTCGAACAGGTTGAAGGCAAAAGTGATCACGAGACTGTGGTGGGAGAATGATACATGCATCAAGTTCACGAGCACCAAATTCAATTCTAGAATTTTGCACTGACCTCGGTGTCCTCAGAGGACGGGGCTGGGGCGGGACTGTGAACAGAATCCGATTATTCCTCGGGCATGATCGCGAACACTTGAACGATCCTCGCCACTCCGACAAAACATGACCTCTCTACTGGTGTCGCACTGTTTGGGAGTTTGGGGAGTTGAACCCGCATTCATTACACAATCCCGTAAACCTCTGCACAAACCGCATAAACTAAACTCATACAGAAGCCATATGCAGACTTGTTAGGCCTTTGGCTTAAAGAAGAAACAGTTGGAAGGTGTCATGACCCTCTCCTCAAAAAAGCCAATAAACCAGGATACCTGCCGGGTTTTTTGTGTTTGTGTATCTTTGTGCTTCATAAAAGTACTCCCCAAACTGCTCACTTGCAACCCAAGTACCGAAATATCGGGTCCTCAGCGGACCTTTCGGGTCTTTGTACAAAGGGCCCGTCCTCGACGAGGCCCAGCTTGAGGCAACGGCCGCCCAGGCCAGAGGCCAAGCGGCCGCCATGGAGCGCCTGGGGTGTTGAAAGGTGTTGGATGGATTTTTGAGGGTTCTGCAAAGGATTCACAAAGGCAACACAGTGGTTCGGGTTTCAGGCTTTCATGCTTTAGGGTCACAGCATATGACCAAGGTTCTATAACATATCAAGAGGCGTTCTACTACGGGGTTTTGGATTCCCTTCAACCCTGCGGAACCTGCATGATGCTTTTTCAGGGATGTATGCAGCCGGAGCATTGGTAAGGTTCCTAGGGGTGTTTTGTTTCTAGGTTCGAGATTTTCTGAGGTCGGTTGGGATTGAGGCCTCATGCGATGGAAGCCTGCAAGTTCAGGGCTTAGGGAGAGAAGCACGTTGAAATCACGATATCACCCTGTACCCCAGGTATCATTGCGAAGGTGTGAAAAGTTGAAAAGACCTGTACAAAGAGAGCCCACTACCCCTTAAATTCAGGAATACTCCGTGAATTCAAAAGGATTTGGTGTGTGATTGTGATTGGAGGATCTTTCCTAAGCGGTGTCGGTCTCTGGATGGGGGATGTTGGCATACCGTCAGGAGGGCTTTATTTCATCTCACTTGACAGGGAAGAAGCTTCTGGCCCATGAACCTCCAAGTGCAGCACAGCGGCGCAGCATTCTCCATCTCTTCTGGATCGGGCACCTGTGTCCGAGCTCCTGTCATATTGGCGGTGCCTTCTCTTCGAACTAAAAGCCCTGCGATTCGGAGTAGCACGCTACTTATAAGTAAGTATAGGGCTTCGAAGCTTCAGGGAATCCCGAAGCCCCTGAACCCTGAATGCAAAAGCTCTCAAACTGTAAATCCTAACCCTGCATCACAACTTAGTAAAGCCTCAGCCTCGATCCTGAAACCGTGTTCAAAGCAAGCGTACTATGTGGTGAAATCCTAAAAGCGATCCTAGGGAGAACCCATTTTAATTCTACAGCCCCATAAAGGCGTACAACAGGCCCTCAAAAAGCGCTTCAAAACTCAAAAATCACAATAACCAATATGAAGCCCTTTCACCCAATCTTGCTGATGCAAAAACCCGTATTCAAAACAAGCAACCCAGAAAATCCCTAGAAGGCACCGAAAAAGCAGTGTAAACGACTGCGAATCACAGGTGCGGTCTACGAATCCTACTGAAAGGACACTCGTAAAGGCGAGGGCCTCGGGCTGAGAGACACCCTCCAGCATCTTCAACGGTCTCGTCGTCACTGTCCCACTCGTGCACCTGTTTGGTGTGGAGGGTCTTTGGACGGTTCTTATGTGTCTGGGGCTTGGGGCTGAGTTTTTGGGGTTTTTGGAGGGGAGATGTTCTCCTTGCCTTCTAAGGGCTTGGAATGTTAATCTCGGGTTTGGGGTTGGGGTTTTGGGTTCGGCATTCTGGATCTAGCGTCGCGCGGCTCCTGTTGGTAGAGTTTCAACCTCCATTTCTGCGTTTGATAGTCCTCCTGTGCCAGGCAATGCATGGATGTATCATATGCCGCTGCTTGTGGGCTTTACTGGGTAGCTCGCGTAAACCTATATAATTTTCATCGTAAGCGATGCAAAGATTGCTTTGCATAAAGTAGTGCTGAGTGCTGTTGTTGACAGATGCTTGCTCGAGCGGCGACACGTTACTCTTTGCATTTACAGCTAGTTTGCTGCTGCAACATGATGTGGCTCATTTCCATCGCCACGCCTGCCCTGGCTCTGGCTCCACTGCGCCTATGTGATGCCACAAGCTCAGCATCCAGACCTCGCTGCTCCAAACCCCCTGTACACTGGACAGAGAACCTGGAGACCAACAAGGCTGCAGTTTACCAATCGGGACAGCGAGTTGCCTTGCACATCGAGGGTGTAGGGGTAGGGCTCGAGTCATCTTCTTTGAGTCATCTTGCCGATTTTGCCGTGTTCAGGTTTAATTCAGGGCAGAACAAACGGTCACTTCCCAAATCTAGAAACTTTGCAATCAAGAAGAGGGCACCAGAACCCTAGATTGAGAAGCCAGCCCTCAAACCCCTCCCTCCCTCCCTCCTGAAACCCTGCAGACCCAGCTTTCGAGTTTTCCGCATGTCCCACATGTGTCGCAGGCAGAGGACCAGGGCTTCAGAGATTAGGCGGTGTTCTGTGCCCCCTCGTGTTCTTAGACCTTGAAGCAAAGCGCTTAGGTTCAGGATGTAGGATGAAGGGATCTAAACTTGCAGGCCCACGGACCGGGATGTAGGATTGAGCTTTTGAGCTTCAGGGCTTGAGGGTCGCGGTACAGACTGCGGGGAGAGACCACATAAAACATTGAAGTCTCTACCGTGCCCCTGACTGAGCTCTTGCCTTGGCTCAAATGCAAACATCGGCGGCTCGGCAAATGGAGCCTGGCTGTGTTCCTGTCGTAGTACGAGTCGTGGGTGGGAGCAGGTCTTGCTGCCACCTGTCTGAGAAGGTGCCCTGCTGGTGCAGGTCTTCAGATGCTGTCAATTTTGCGTAGCCACTCAGCCAGAGAATCGTTCTTCCAGTCCTCATACAACTGATCCACCTCATCTTCGAAATCTTCCAAATGGCTCCTAGATTGTTCTGTAAGTGAATCAAACTTAAGTTGCAGAAGAAAAGACACCATAGTAACTTCAATCAAGCAATTGCCTTATTATCAAGAACAAAGGCTCATGTGCCATGATTCCAGTACGAAGGTCCTGCCCTCTGGAGAATCGACGGCCTTCATGGCATAAGTCTTACACTGTTCTATGAACCGGTCCCATTGAGCTATAACGAAGCCAAGTTGTCTATCAATACGAGAGAATGCGGACTTCGTCTGCTCGTCGAGCGCCTGGTCTTTTCGGACCCCCAGCTCTTCGACGATACGCTTCAGCTTGTTCCGGTAAGGAGCCACCGAGTATTCGAAAGCAGCAAAAACAATACGCGGTACATCAACGTCTCCAGGTAGCAGAGCGTTTGGAGAAGAATTCGGCACGTCTGGCACAACAGGTGGAGGGGCGAGTGGATAACCTCCAGGTCCAAGAAAGCAGAAGGTCTTTTCCATCGAATACATCCATACCGCATAGGCGAGCAGGCGCTTGCGCCGAAACGCTCGAAGATTCATGTTCAAGGCAGGGACACTGCTTACTCCATCAGCACCCAAGATAGCCAAACAAAAAAACAAAATCTCCAAACCGTTCCTCAGGAAACAAGACTTGCAAGGCTGAAAGGCTGGGTATTCATTAAGTACCAACAAATCGTGTAACACCGAACTCCTGAATCGCTTTACCTGTTGTTCTTTGCGGAGACCCTTCGCTCCACTAAGAGCCTGCTGCTGCTCCAAGCCAAACGCAGGAAGAAGCGAGGGTGTCGGGTTCGGGCTTAGGACTTAGGGCCTTAGGGTCTATGATTGGAAGCCTTAAGCGGCTTTGAAAAAATAGAGGTTGCCTGGGAGTTCCTGCTCTGATCCCTCTTATGGATGTCCGACTTAGTCTCTAATCTATCTAACACCCCGATGTTGCAATGGACATCTGTGAGCCGAGCTTTTACGGCGTTTGATTCAAAGCGCATTGGGGCTCGATGCTGTCGCGCAAAAAAATACCGTCGGGGATAGCAAGGCTCAAGCTACGAATGTCCTGCCCTGGGCCTGGGAACCGCCGAATCTTCCTGTCAAATTTATCTGCCACCGGACCGTAGTAGGTGAAATTGAATTCGTCAAAAAGGGCTTGACCGAGGTGCTTGGAGGCCAGAATAAGCTTTTCAGATGGTTTGGCTTGCGATAGTTTGGCTTGCGACCCCCTTATGGCACCGACAATGCCAGCATTTCTGAATTTCAGAAATCCCCAACTCCCAATTAAAGCTAAAGCCCTATACCCAAAACCTTACAATAGAACCCTTAGATAACCCTGCAGAAAACTCCATCAAGCTACAAGAACCCTAATTTCTGTGTCCTTTGATGAAGGCCTTGAGCCCTAAACCACGAAACACCGAAAAGCTGATGTCGGTTTGCCATGGTTGTGTCTGCTGTCGCACTTGATCAACCTCCTAGAATGCCTGCGGCACTTGGAGGATCACGGTAGGTAAATGGGGCAATAGGTAGGCTGTAGATGCTTCTGGCATCGCTTCAGGCACATAAGTAGCCTTACTTGCAACTGCCCCAGACCCGCGACACCCAGGACCGTCCCATCTGTCAGTCTTGGTCTTTGGTTTGGTGTTTCGAGCATCTCTGTCTTGGGCTTCACGCTGGCCCTAGACTGAAGATCGAGGCCTCGACTATGAGAGCCTGACACAGCTCGACTGCTTGACCCTGAAACATTGAAACCCCAAACCCCCGACATTCGGCATCGATGGGGCGCAAATCCCAGGCAACTGGGCCTCGCTTGCTTTGCCACTTGCAAGGGCGCAGAAGACCTCAACAGAAGCACGTCTCTGTCCGGGTTTGGAGCTTGGAGTTTGGGGGGCAGGAGAGATCATGACGATGTGGAATTCACGTTCTGGAGCCTTTTCGGGGCTTCGCCAGAGATGCCCTGGTCGTGCCCTAACCTGAACCGCGGACAAGCTCCCGTGCTACAAGTATATGGCTTGAAAGGTAAACATCGCTGCAATAACCCCATTGGGCGTTTCACACAGCAACACAACGAAAGCTCGATGGTCTCACCAGGTGGGTTTAATTAGAAGTTGACAATCACGACATTACACACAGGGACATGCGAAGTCCTAGGTGGGTTCTACGTTTGACACAGAAATTCCAAATGGAGACCCCTTTGCCGCAAGAAGCTCAGTCTTGTTATTGGAGTCTTAAAATGCTTGCCAACCACAGGACAAGGACAGAAGTGTACAGAAATCAGCGTCTCGTTTGTTCCCCCAGCCGTAGAAACTTCATCGCACTTGCCCCGCGAACACATCCAATGGTAGGATGTTCGTCAAGAATAGTAGCGTTCAGAATCATCAACCTCCTGAGACTAACCCGAAAACCCTACAAAAACCTTGCAGCACTCTTTTAAAACCAGAAGCATTCGAAAGCCGACCTCTCCACTGGGTCACGGACTCGCATTGCTCTGGAGCAGACTGTATGTGCCTCTGCTGAAGCCTACTCTTGTCGGAAAACCCTGCACTACCCCAATACGTATCCTACACTGTTTGAGTCATGTTCCTTCATTATGGTGCTTGCAAGATTTTCCTTTAATCAACAGTGTGCGTGGCCTTCCTGTGTGTGTGGGGGGGGCTTATCATGCTGTAGAGGCCAAGGCTTTTTTGAGGCCAGACGAGGAGCTCCGGATGCACAAAGGTAGCCGCTTGCAGCTTCGAGGTTTAGGGGTTTTGAGGGGTTTACAAGCCATAGTACAGGGCTGGGGTTCAAGATTTGAAGGTTTTGGTTTCAGTTGCTTATAAGGATTTCATGGTTTCGGTTTCGGTTGCAACACATGCACCTCACAAGATGAGTCTTCTCTTAGATGCCTGGTATAGACGGTATAGATAGTGTATACTAAACGGTATGTAAGAACCGGTTCCAACCGTTTAGCCCCCCCCCCCCGTCTCATCCCAGATTATTCTCAACAACCGAAGCCCTAATCCCTCTAAGCTCTAGCATTTTGAAAGCCTAAGCCTAAACCTTAAACCAAACCTGCTGTCGCGCTTCTCTGGCCAGGGTTGAAGAAGTCGCCTCCTAAAAGGCAAACCTAGACCCAGACAAATAAAAACATTAGGGCCTGCCTCAAGCCCCATTGCTTCAGCGGCAAAAAAAATCTCTTTCATCGAATCAGGATGATCAACAAGAAGGCCGCTTAAGGTGCATACCGTAATCCTGCTCAGTTCCTGGCCCAACGAAACCCAGCTCTTAACTAAACTCCCATTGCCTGCCTTAATGTAAACTTTATGCAACTCCCCACGGCCTGGCATAGGGAAGATAGGGTGTCTGTTTGCGGCTGTCTGAAGACAGAAACCACTGAAACACTTCCTAGTCAAGCCCGCATAGGACACTACATGAAGCGGAATACAGCCTTCATAAGCCCTGGAAAGACCCATGAAACGGCCAAAACCACAGCTGCTTGGCTCGCTTTCTCCTTTACAATCACTTCAGGACCCTATAAGCGCCGTTACCCAAGCAACCTTATCATGTCCTAAACCCCAAACCCTCAGCTCTCAACCCTACAGTTTCAAAAGGCGCTGAATAGGAAGTAGGGTGCAGCTGACTGCTCCGGTGTTTCGACGCGAGGCGACTCCGAGGTTGGCCTGGCTTTCAAAGGGGTCGTAAAATTCAAGGCTGCCATAGGGCTTGCCAAGGGCTAGAACGGATCCTTCGAAAGATGGATTCAGATGGTGTTCAAGGTGCTTCAGGAAGTGGTCCAGCCGAGGGTTTCGTGGTAGGGGCTCCCAACAGCTGTTCTCTGAATTTGGTCTTGCTGCTTGAAACAGACTGAATAACAAACGGCATATGACATTAATATACACAAGCTTTGTCCATATGCAGCAACAGCTACAAGTCCCGAGCACCGCGAAGCACGACTGCCAAAGCTGCTCGGGCGACCACTACTGGCAATATCATAGTTGTGGTTGGTGCAAGAACTACCATCGGCAACTATCATTCCCGATGATGTGGTACCAAAAAGGCTTCTGGCAAGCAGGGTACCTTCTTGATGAGGCTACTCCTTGGAGTCCGTATTCGGGTCCCCTGATTCTCTGTAATCTCCTCCGCTTCGTCATCCCAACACACAATGTGAGCATGCTCTAAGCCCAAACATTCTCATCCGCTCCAGACTCTAAATCCTATACCCGAGAGAGCCCAGCGCCATAGTCCAGGAGCAGTTCATGGCATGTTTGTTCGTCAAAGAAAGTGTACTGGGCTCCCTGAGCATGTTGGCCAGGTGGCTGCTGTTGGGCGGCCGGCATGACACCACGGAAGTCTTCGGCCTCTTCACGGATCTCTGGATCAAGGCTTCCCTTCCCCAGCGACCCGACTGCCCAATCCAAGTTATGGAACTTATGATCGTCTATATTCAGGCGCCATGCAAAAAAGGCATTCCTGAATTTAGGGGTAGCCTACCACACCCCACTGCATCACACTTTAAATAGGCGTGCAAAATGGCAGAATTCGCACAAGCGAGGATTTCGATTTGCCAGGAGGACAGTCCAGTGAACTCGGCGAAAGCAGCATCTGACAGTTTCGTTGTGGATTTTACCACTTAAACTGTCATGAACTACCTGCTTTACAGGTCCTCATGGTAAAGATCCTGGTATTTTGTATGCTCTACTATGGGATCTCTTTGGCTTTGAAACTCCTATGTAGCAAGGCAATACCGCCAACAACGCTGGAACCATGTCGGCAATGTGAGGGTACGGTGATGCATGAATATCGGTCGAAAGAGGTGCTGCCAAATCGCGACGACATGATTTGCACCATTTCGAGATTAAAGTTCCCAGAGAGCCCAATATCGCCAAAATGAGAAGTACACTCCCAATCATCGTAAGATGTGTATGTCCATGTCTCTCTCTCTCTCTCTCTCTCTCTCTCTATATATATATATACATATATATATATAGTACATACACATGTGTGTACACAAATATATATATATATATATATATATACAGCTAGATAGATAGAAAGAGAGAGAGAGAGAGAGAGAGAGAGAGAGAGAGAGAGAGAGAGAGAGAGCGAGAGAGAGAGAGAGAGAGAGAGAGAGAGATTATCAAATATCTGTGCTAATCGAGGCCTACCGGGATCTCTGCGTTACTCTGGGGATGAAAGCTTGATCAATCGCAGTATTTAGGTTTCGCCCTAGGTTTCGGTGGACGGCGCATGCGCACAGCAGCACAAAACAATGCAAACAAATCTGTCCCAAGTTCATCTGCCTTCAGTGTCCTCCTTCAAGAGTTAGCGTACCTTTTCAGGGGGTCCTCACAGATGAGGGCTACATGTTTACTGAATCCTCCCCGAATCCTGAACCTCCGTCCCGAACTTTCCCGCGCCTGGGCCGGCCGAGGCCGAGCGCGGGTCGGCCGCTGCTCCGACGGCTCTGTGGACGGTGGCTTCATGCGCTGTAACGATGCCGGCAAAGCTCTGCTCCCCTCAGAAAGTTTGTCGACGGTTTTCTAAGAACAGCCAACACACCTGAACATGTAAGTCATGAAATAGAAACCCTGACCCGAAAAAGCTAACAAACTGAAAACAGTGCCCAAGAGCCGTAGAGAGAGAATTTGTAGGACGAAACTCAGGAAGATCGGGCTCTTGCCATGAACCATCCTCGGTGCTGCACAAAACCCCATTTAAAAAATTCGGAATTCCACGCATGTTAGGGGTCTGCAAAGTTTACAGCTTATATAGGGTTTAGGAATTATGAAGCTCTCGGATTGCTACAAAGAGTAAAGGCTGGGGATTGGAAGCTAAGCATCTGAGCACGGAGTTCTGCCATCCTGACGCGGGCTAGTGAGGTGCAAAGTGTCAGGTTCGGTGACGAACGTGGGCTGCACTGCCTCTGGTGCTCTCCGTTCGGCAGCTTTCTCCTCAGGCACAGGCTGGCTTCGAAGACCATGACGTTGTTTATAGGAGACTTACCTAGGATCATGTGGCGTCGTAATAAGCTTAAATACCTTTAGGTGAAGCTCCCCTGTCATGTTTCTTACTCTACTTTACAGAATATTTCGTACTCAAGGGGCTGAACAGTGGGCACGCTCTGAAATCGTGAGAGATGCTTTCCGCAAATAGATATGGATATGGTATCTTGTGCGAGACTTGCGCCGGTAACTCAAGATTACCATTGCTAGGATCTGCATGTTCGCCTGCTTCCATCCATGAATATTTCCCGGACATCCCAATGACGCATAATCACTTGCCAACCCCTCCGTCTTGATGAGCCCCGTCCGCAGACACCAAAGAACTTTAGCACAATGCTAATACACAGGGCGGCCCCGGCCCCACTACCACTGTTTTTGAAGGCAAGTGTCCCTGGCCACATCGTCTTTCTTTGGCCCAGAATGGGCGGCAAAGGACTTAGGGGCTTGACGAGAGGTCGCTAGTTCCACTGAGTTCGCTTCATTGAAGACCGCAGGCCGCACTGCCTCCAGGGTCTACGTAGGGTTCAGGGTCGGGGGTTTCGGAGCTACAGGATTCAAGGTTAGGGGATTTCGGGTTTGGAGTCGACTAGCTCGATCTTGGATGGTTCTCCAGGCGGCCGCTTCCTTGCCTTCGCGGACTGGACGTCACGGAAAACTCGATGCTGATCACAGTTCTGAAGATCGGGGCGGCTGCGGAAGAGGCCGGTGGTGTCTGCCAAACCCTCTTCCTGCGCCTCCAACGCATCGAGTGCTTTAGCAAGGCCTGGAGTAGATGTCCTGCGAGGTTCCGGCAGCATGTCAATGCTCTTGGACATCTTGAGAAGAGTTTGGGGAGGTCGGGATTCGGATGAAGTGCGCGTGGCCTGCCAGGACGTCTCATCACCAAGGCTCACCGCATGCATCGAGGGTCGCCTCGGTGGAGTCTCCTCAGTCGCCATCTCCAAAGGAATGTCGCCAACAACCAGTGGATCCTGTTCTGCTTGGGAGGGTGGAATAAGCGTCGCTTCCTGTGCGGGAATCTGCTCCTTCTTGGTCTCCGTGTGCCCGGATGCACAAGGCTGTGCCGAACGAAGAATTTCCGCCGTGGAAGCCTCCTCCATTGGCACGCTGACAGGCAGTGGATCTTGTTTTGCCTGGAGACATGAAGGCCGCCTCTCCTCTTGCATGAGCATCTGCTCGTCCCCCTTGGCCTCTGTGTGCATGGAAGCAGAAGGCTGTGCCGAAGGAAGAATTTCCAGCTGCGAAGCCTCCTCAACGATGTTGCCAGAAGCCAATGCATCCTGTTTCGATTGAAGATGTGATGGCCGCCTTTCCTCCTGTGCAAGCAGCCTGGATGCATAAGGCTGTGCAGAAAGAGGAGTTTCCAGCTCCTCTGCAGAAGCACTTACAGCCTGAAGGCGTGAAGGCCGCCTCTCCTCTTGCGTGAGCATACACTCCCGCTTCTTGGCCTCTATGTGCCTGGATGCATAAGGCTGTGCCGAAGAAGGAAAGTCCAGCTGGGAAGCCTCCTCCACCGGCACGCTGACAGCCAGTGGCTCTTGTTTCGCCTGGAAACGTGAAGGCCGCCCCTCCTGCTGTGCGAGCATCTGCTCCTCCTTCTTGACCCCTGTGTGCGCGGAAGGATGAGGCAGTGCCGAAGGGGAAGCTTCCAGCTGGGAGGCCTCAACTGAAACGTTGCCAACAGCCACTGGTGGATCCTTCTTGGCATCTATGTGCCTGGATGCACAAGGCTGTTCCGGAGGAGGAATTTCCAGCTGCGAAGCCTCCTCCACTGGCACGCTGACAGTCAGTGGATCTTGTTTTGCTTGGAGACGCGAAGGCCGCCTCTCCTCCTGTTCGAGCATCTGCTTCTTCTTCTTGGTCTCTATGTGCCTGGATGTGGATGAATTATAGGGCTGCGCCGAAGAAGGAATTTCCAGCTGGGAAGCCTCCTCCACTGGCACGCTGACAGGCAGCGGTTCCTGTTTCGCCTGGAGACGTGAATGCCGCCTCTCCTCTTGCATGAGCATCTGCTCCTCCTTCTTGGCATCTATGTGCCGCGATGCATGAGGCTGCGCCGACGGGGGAGCTTCTTTTTGGGAAGTCTCCACTGCAACGTTGCGAGCAGCCATTGGTGGATCCTGTTTCGCTGGGCCCCTGTCCTCCTGTGCCAGCTGCTCCTGCTCCAGGGGCTCTGCGTGCCTGCATGCGTACATGCAAACTGAGACACACCGACAGATAGAGAAGGCATTCCCTTTGTGTAAGGTTCCGACGGGTTGACTAAGCACGTGAAGTGATGTAGGGAAGCTGTCTCAGATGACGTAGGGAAGGCATGTTCACGGATAGGTATATTATATTGGCTACAGGCAAGCCCAAGCATCGGTTTGATTTACTCATAGGGGACGCTTGAAGCGTGGAACCTCAAATAACACGAGGCTGGTGTACAGAAACGTTTATTATGTAGCCTTTTAAACGAAATATCCTTCAAGAGAAGGTACAAAGCCGCTTCAAACATTTCGTGACACCCTGGAGAAACCTGTCATATAAATTATGCCAGCGAAGATCGACTAACAGTTACTAACAATGAAAGACCACGCCCCGAAGAGACCACGACGACCACGAGCACCACGACGACCAGGACCATCGCCACGACCACGACCACTGCGACGACAAGGATCACAGGACCACATTAACGGAACAGCACACTACCACCACCGCCGGCGCCACCAGCACCACCATACGAATCGTTCCTCCCAGTACCTCATAGTGTGGCCCTGCTACGGTTGTAGGTAGGACTTTCGAGCATTGGAGGGGACACCAAAATCGCTCACCCCATGCACTGTCAAGGCCGAATGCGTCGAAAGCAAATATGAACCTAAGGTATTATACATGCGAAATCGCTTAGAATTTACAATGAACTGGCTTTTCGCGCAGCCGGACTCTGGAAAAAGGCGAGGGTCGGCGAAAGCGTGCGCCGAAGTGTAGCGGCAGAAACCGCAGGAGTCTTTACCTTCTAAGGTGAGATCCCCATAGTGTGACCGCCCCCATGGCCCGTGCTGTAGCCATGTCACCCGTTCTTTGCTGTACTCAGCAACAGTTTGCTCGACGAACTCCTGTGCGCGTTTGCAGGGCTGGAAAAATAGGGCTGGTAGGCAGTTGTATAATGGCTTTTTCTGCTTTTGGAGCTTTGACCAAGCTTCGGGGTTACCTAGGCCCATGGCTTGGGATGTTAACGGCTTCTAGGCTAAACGGCTGCAGGGTTTGGGCTCTACTGGTAGGGCTTTACGCCCACAGCTTAGCGGTTCAGTAAGCCTAGGCCTCTCAGAGTCCAATGGCTGGACGGCTAATTCTGATTTCAAACGAACGTCGTGAGCAGTAGGGGCCTAAAGGGCCTAAAGAGCGCCACAAAAATGATCATCTGATCTTTGTGCTTGTGGGAATGCAGAGTAGGCGCCCGGTCCTCGAAACCCCAGCTCCTACACCGAAGACTAACTAAGTCGTGGCTTCGCCGTTATGACAACTTTGAACCTACGGTTCCAAAGCGAGACCCTAAGCTTCCGAGCGCAAGCTGTGTGTGGGCTGTCTGGGAGGTGTAACTATCCCGACAGCCATACACACGGATAGAACAACCCTTAGTGTTGACACCTCTTCTTGGCAACTCCGCCCTCCAAACACTATCTTATTCTAACGGCAAGCAGTTGTGCTGCTGGTGACGGAGAAAAGTCTGCATCACCTGAAGCATCCCAACCTACGAGTCTGAAGGTGTATTATGGACAATGCCCCGTGGCCCTTAATGCATCAATGTCGTTCCAAGTTCGGCATCCTCCACGGACACAGCGCTAACCCCTAAACCCTAAACAGATCTTATACATCAGAAGCAGCAAAGCCCTTAAACCGTAAGCCCAATGACCTGAAAGGTCCATGAACAGAAGTCAAGGTAGCGAGCTCACAATTTAGACCGTAAATCAGGGTAGCCTCATTGTAAGCACGAAAAGGGGTTGCTTTCTACCTCCACGTATGCTCTTGAGCAGCATGGGGGCATTCGTTGGACGAGGCTCGTAGGCGCCACCCTGCCATCAGCGATGTCGGCGATAGTCTCCGCCAGCGCTATTGTGGCCTGTCGATAGGTATGCGATTCAGGATATTGAAGGTGCCTAAGTAGTGTAATGATGGCCCTACGTCGAAAAGCCTGAAGCTTAGACTCCAAACACGCATGATGTAGGACAATCTCATGGTAAACCTAGTTAATGTCAGAGGTTCCATGAACCTCAAGCAGCGAGACGCAAAAAGGATTTGTGTTGTTCCGCTTTGGGTTCTCGGCAATGGCAGCGACGGATGGCACCATCGGTGACACACCTAGCATGATCTGGGGAAGAAGTCTAAAAATACAGAAACATGCAGAGACAAGCTAGTAGGAGAAAGGGTGCATATTGTAATTAGTCATTGGTCGTGCGATTCTTCGTGTGCATATGCAGGCCAAGACACAACACAGACGGACAAACAGACACATGGAAATCCGGTCTCTGCCGGTTGTCTTGTAGTCCTGTCCCTTCTTCTTGTCGTTATCTCTTGTCTGCATCTCTTAACAAATTGCTTTTCATCTAGATTATCTTAAGCTCGAATACCAAGGCCTCAGAAATCTTCTTTGGTTCCAGGTTCTTCTCAAAGACATGCATACTTTAGATGTGCAATACAATTGATTGTTTAGGTCTCAAGTCTTAAGCAGGTACGTTTTCACACCTGCCATCGGAGGTCTTCGTTGGCCACAGCTCCGATGGTAGGCCTGTGGCCCCTGCTTTTGTTCGAAAAAATTTTGTTACGACTCAAAATCCTTGGAAACAGGAGTTGCGCACACACGACCCCGGTAGGACCGGTTGTCAACAGAACAGCTAGACAAAAAATTGAAATCATAACCTGAACCTAAAAAGCTAGCCAGTAGTGATCTTGTACATCTGGGCCAAGTCTTTTGCTCAAAGACTTTCGATCCGCCGGTTGTCTCGTAGTCTCTTTTGTCTCTTTTCCTTGACACTTCTTCAAAATTTCATCCATTAGACTTTTTCAGATAGTAAATGTTGAGGCCTCTGGAAGCTTTGCTTTGGAAGGTTGTTTTGAAAGGTACGGAATACTAGATGAGCGCTACAATTGATTGTTTGAGTCTCAAGGCTCAAGCTACGTGCAGGTACGTTTTCAGCTCTTGTCATTGGCCTTTTCGTTGGCCATCCTGCGCCTGCATCTCTTCTTTCCATTGTTTTGTGGTCGTTTCTTTTCTTTTCTTTTGTCGTCTTTTGTCGTCGTCGTTGAGTCAACGACAACAACAACGACGCGAACGTGCTAATGACAGAAGAAAGCAAACGAGCACCAACAACGACGACGACGACCGAACGACACAACAATCAACACCACGATAACTGTGGCTGGAACATCTACACGAACGAAAAAGACGGTGACACAGCGAGCAAGAGCAACGCAGGAACATGACGACGACGACGACGACGACTGAACGAAGAACAACAATAGCAACACAACATACGCCTTGCATCTCACTTTCCGTCCTCTTGAGCACGAATGCTACAGATGGGTATAAGATGAAACGAGACGAGAAGACACACGAATGCTGGATCAGCTTTGGGTGGCGATCGAAATCTACTCACGATAGTAATAGAGTTCAGATGATGATGAAAGTTAGATCTACTAATATAATTTCTACTTTCCTCCAACCGCACAGGCCTGAAAAGGCCAAGGGACGCTGGGTGCTTGTTGGGTGGCGAACGGACGAATCATCATCTTCAGCTTGGGTATAATTCGGATGTCATCATCAGCTTGGGTATACTTCGGATCGCATAAAGCGTTGGATCAGCTTGGGGACTGCTTAGCAGAAGACTATCAAGACGATGGATCAGCTTTGGGTGATCATTCGCAATGAATGACCTTGTGTGTACTTGGGATCGCTTGGGTATGCTATGACACCTTAGTCTGATACACCTGCGAACAGACATATCAGAGATGCTTGGGTGCTTTCTGGTAGGGGTATACCTGGGATTGCGTTAGCCTTCAAAGCATTGGGTCTCTGCAAAGTAGTCTGGTTGCAAACCAGAATTAAATCACTTCATTTGGGTATAATTCGGATATCCTGGGTATGCTTGGATGGACTGTAACTGCAACCATCACGACAGGCCCTTTGTCAGAATTACCGGCCGAACAACACACATGGAAATCCGGTCTCTGCCGGTTGTCTTGTAGTCCTGTCGCTTCTTCTTGTCGTTATCTCTTGTCTGCATCTCTTAACAAATTGCTTTTCATCTAGATTATCTTAAGTTCGAATACCAAGGCCTCAGAAATCTTCTTTGGTTCCAGGTTCTTCTCAAAGACATGCATACTTTAGATGTGCAATACAATTGATTGTTTAGGTCTCAAGGCTTAAGCAGGTACGTTTTCACACCTACCATCGGAGGTCTTCGTTGGCCACAGCTCCGATGGTAGGCCTGTGGCCCCCTGCTTTTCTTCGAAAAAAATATGTTACAACTCAAAATCCTTGGAAACAGGAGTTGCACACACACACACACTCAGCTCGAAAGCTTGGCAGGTCTACTTCCACTGGTGCTTTCACAGCGATGATCGGCACTTCTCAGCTTTGCCCTCCCCTTGTGCTGTCACGATTCACACACGTCCCCTGTGATGTTCTCCGGTCACTGTGGCGAGGTTTATGAGATGGAGCTCCACGGGCCTGCTCCACCCCTCAAAGGAGTGCCGCAAACACACTCAGTACCCTCCATGAACGAGTGGCCAGATGTTCTTTCAACTCAAGAGCAACAACAAGACAATGGCATGATGCCGGTATGGTTAATACAGTAAAAGAGGGCAAGCTTCGTGGAAGCTCTATATGCAACTGCTGTGATAAAGGCTGGCGGAAACAGATGAGACATTGGCATAAGCGGTTGTCGGTCCCAACATGCAAAGTCCCTCGCTGCCGGGAAATGAGAGTCAATATCCGATGTGTGAATGGCATGTTTCATCCTGACGCCAAAATGGGGGTTAGATCGAAACTATAGGGATGAAGGAGTACCAGTATTTTCTTTCGTCGTGGAGGCACTAGCCCCCTTTCGAATCGCCCTGGCTTGCCCGACAAACAAACCACCTTTGTCCGTTCATGTCTAGGCTTTGGCCGCAAGGCGGAAACACCATCGGCAAGACCTTGTTCTAGACTTGTGAGGGCCTTCAAATTGGCCGCACGATCAGCACGTGGCTCTGGTGGTACTGTGGTGGCATCCACACAAACCGCCCGCATAGAATCCCCAATTGCTTCTTTAGTTAGGCCAGGGAAACCTACATAGGGTTGTTTCTCCTGCTAGGAACCCAATACGCAGGGACAGGTTCTCTTCCTCATGTCGGATGTCAGTCGCTACCTTACTGATGAAACCCGTCGGGGTCCTGGTGCAATCGTTCTTCTTGCGCACATCGCGATCTTTCGACGACCTCGTAAATCTGAGATTGAGGGTCGAAGATTTGGGGACAAGACAACGAATGATATCGAGGGAATAATCTTTGACAAACTTGTGACTACTTTTGCTACGTCACTGAGTCTGAAAATAATCATAATCGTGATCTTCATCATTGCTATCATCATCGCCGTCACCCCAATGTTGATATCTTCGGATGCTACCAGTGCGAATGATGATTCAACTTCTTAGTCATAACAAAGATCCCGCTAGGTTCGTTCCAACACACTTACTAGCTGCCCTGATACATTGTGTAATACTCCGGGCCAGAAAATGGACCCCCCCCCACGCGCGCACACACACACGGATATAGGAAGGGCAGCCTGCTATCTATTGCAGGAGCTTCAAATTTGGGGTATACCGTCTTCCTTTACGGAGTGCGGAGGGCTTAGGGCACATGTAGCCTTACGCTTGCTTCGGTGCAAGATTAGTGCCTTCTTCTTCAGGTGTGGTTTAGGGTGCTGTTGCGGTTTATGCTTCGAGATGTCGGTTCAAGCCTGCAGCCCAGCAATTCACTCCTAATGCCTGAACCGAAAAACCGCGACGTTGAACCTATGTCCCGAGTTCTGTCGGCAGGCATAAGCTGGACCTACGGATGGGGGGAGTAGACTCTTTAAGGCTTGGGCCCGGCTTGGGAGTGCCAGTTACACTCGCGTCCACAAGCCCGTACGCCGTACGTCCAAGCTGCCTCCCGAATCGCTTTGTCTTTCCTTGGCTGCCGAATCCCCTAGGGGATGAAGGCTGCGAGTGCTAAGTAGGCTTGTACCACCAGTTTCTGCAAGAGACATTCCTAAAAGGAGCCCTACACTCCCAAAACCCTGGTACAAACCCGACCTCATGCAAGGAACCGAGCAATCCCGAGCGGACACTAGATCTCTCGCGATCCTCTCGCGATTGCCGATATCAGTAGCATCGTGATCACTGTGGCGTTGTCGTCATCATCTCCATCACCACTGCATTCGGATAAATCCCCTAGTTCGTGGCAGTGCGTGTCCGTTGACTGGTCATGTTGAGGGGGTTCACTGGTGGGCATGATTTCATGTTTCACTGACTCTTGCTTTATCGTCGAGACCCTGAACATATGCAAATTCTAGCACCTGCATTCAACACGAAACCATGTGCACTTGGAAGGGTCAGGCCCAACGTAACTGTGAACAAAGCTAGCTATAAGCCCGACCGAAATGTAGTTATAGCCGTCCGAACAACGAACCACGAACCTTGATGTAAAGCCTCTTAGCATGTCCGAGCTGCTTTTCTTCTTGGGTGCGGGCTTTTGCCTTTGAAGCTGAGGCGGGGTCGCACTCCAGTTTGATGAGCCCCGTTGCAAGGGGTCTATTTGGCCAAAAAACCAACGAAACAAATTTTAAACCCTATGGGCAATGCTGAATTTTCACAACTCCAAAACTTTGGGTGTTGGGTATGGGAGAGCCGCGGCACAAACACTAAACCCAAGCCTGTCTCTGTACATCCCGAGAACCCTCTGCAGGCTGTGGAAATGCCGATGCAGGCCCTATAAGGACACGAGATAAAGCCTGCTATGAGCCCCTGAAACATTCCGCGCACAGAAATCTTGTTGTGTTCAGCTCCACGGAAAGCTTGACGATAGTACATGCCATAGCCACTAGCACGTAGTACTTTCCCTGCACAATTACCTCAACGTCAAACCCTGCAACCCTACCCAACCCACGGCCCATGTTAAAACACACGCAGAACATGAATGAAACTACATGTTAATCGCCCTACCAACAGTACTGCTACAGTAATCATGGCAGGAATGATTACCGTCATCAAATACAAAAATCGTGAATTCCATATCAAAACTACGCGCGGTCACCGTGTCTTAAGCACAGCAACAGTATTCTTGATACGAATAGGTATCTTACGGGCAACTTCAACTAAACCGGTGATTCGAAATCGTGGTGAGAAACATTAGAGTCAGACATCTTTTAAACTCACGTCCTTACAGGCAATATCTGAACCGGGACCCTACACAGTACGGCCAATTTTAGTGGAGGGATTAGGGCAAGAACTTTCCAGGACTACTACGAACATATAAACATAAGTATACGGTGGTCCGGATTAAGGTCGATAAGACTGCGAATATTTCTACTTTCTAATCATTATAGTAATCACTACAACAGCATTTATTGCTTTCAATCAAACGGAAAGCTAAAGTCTTAGAATGCGGCTGAATCATTAGATCCCAAGAAACGTCAAGGATTGGGTACCGGAGAACCAGCTTGTCAGTTATAGTGCGCACAGCAACACAATCGCAACTGCACATGCAAGTTTCGACATGTAAGGAATCCGAAGGCAGCTCCTGATCTTGAAGAAACCTTACAAGCCCGTCAAAATCCCGAGGCAACTTTCACACCAGACTCTAATGAAACACTTGAAAACAACTCTTGCGACACCTATGCCTGGAAACCCCTTCCCAAAACCCTAATTGCTGCATCCGAAACCCGGCTTCCCCCAAAAGAGGCCTCCTGGGTGTACTTGACCAGCGCTTCGGCTTCCTTCCGCAGCGCCCGGAGGACCGACAGAGAGGGCAGCCCAAGGTCGCCTGAGACTTCTTGGAGGCCCCTTTTGCTCATCTTCAGCAGCTCTTATTGAAGTACATTGCTTCTGATGCTTTCTTGTTTGGATTTCAAGACTTAGAGTTGCAAGTTTATGGCTTTCAGGTTTTTGGTGTGTTCAGGTTGTCTAGTTCTCTGCAGGGTTCTCACGGTTCCTAGGGCTGTCAAGGTCTTTGTTGCTGTTGGCGTCTGGTCGCATTTCTATATTTGGGCGTGTGGTATATCAAGGTTTAGGGTTCACACTTAGAGGGGTCTACGACTTAAAGTTTAAGGTTGCTTTAACATCTAGGTTTAGAGGTCTTTAGTGCTTTGATGCGCAGGGGTCACGAATCTAGAAGTGCGAGGCCTAGAGTTTAAGGGAAAGGTTTGTGTTTCACACTTCAGGTTTTGTTAGTCACTAGGGTTGAGGATATCCACACTGTTTATGCTTCAGCGAATCTTCAAGTTTGCTTGAAGTGCAGCATTATGATTATTGTCTCTTCTGTTCTCAGAAAATATGACGGTATGAGGTCTCAAAGCTACCGGGTCATCGCATTTCTTAAGCTCTAAAGCCCAATCCTTAGTCCTAAAACCTGACCTAAAACCTTACACCGCCAAAGACCCAATAATCAAAACTTGCAAAGCTTTACTAACACTACCTATAATGACTACACCGGAGGATAAACTCTCCTGAAAGCGGATAAATGCCCCACGACTCACTTTTCTGCTTTCCGTCCTTGTCCAAACCCTGACTTGCAAGAAGCCTAAACCACCAAAACTGGCATAAACACCTGGTGAATATCCTCGACGGCTTGGTGAAAACCCTATCACCTCAGCCTAAAAGAACATGTAAAGCGCACAGACACAGACCTGGGCTCCGCGGACTGCCTGGCCTTCGGAGCTGACACTGCCGCAGGTGCTGTGCCTGCGCTGCATTCCGTTCGCTCGAGCCGACTCCTCGGATCTGCACAACTTGCTTCGGCAAGGTTCTTTGAAGTCTCAGCACCTGAAACTCTCCAAAGTACCGCGCTTGCAACACCATCTACACTCACACACACAGTCTAGACTCTAGACCCCATCATAACCTTGTATGAACCCAGAAAGACCGTATCCGCGTGTAAACCCCCTACAAACCTCGTTCGTCTGCTGCTGTTTTTGCTACCAGTAGCATCGCGGAACAACATCCCATATTGTAGACGCACCCATCTACCGAAGAGGCGCGCATGCACTCACCAACATCCGAACGTAAGCCCTGATTGCAACAAGCCAACATGTCTGAATAGGGTCAACAAGTCCGAGCCAAGATTCTCGCGCATCCTCAAGCCTCTCCTCATAGTTGGCCTAGGCTCAGGGCCTATGAATGTGTGGTAATATGTGTGTAGATCTGTATGTGTATATATATATATATATATGTATACATACATACACTCACATGTATGTATGTATCTAAGGGGCGTGTGTTTGTGTATCCGGATAACTTCGCACGAATGTATTGCTTTATCCTTCTACGTGTATTTGTGTACATACTTATATATGTACACATACATACATACATACAGACATACATACATACATGCATACATGCATACATACATACGTACATACATACATACACACATACACACATACACACATACACACATACACACATATACATATACATATACATATACATATACATATACATATACATATGTACATACATATATATACATATATATATATACACATATATATATATATATGCATATATGCCGTGTATGCATGCAAGAGCGCACCCACTGAGAGAATGCGTGAAATGAAGTTCGTAATGCTTCAGTTCTATACTCTATACTAAAGAGTCCTTTCTGTCCTGGAACTTTCGTATCATCGCAGGACAACAGGGTGGCTATGGACTTAGAGAAGCCTTGCCTCACGGCTCTTATCATGTACAGAAGCCTGAAAATCCACACCTCACTACTAAACCCTCACCCAATGGCAAGGCCCGAAGAACCGCTTGAACATCAAACCACCTATATGCCCTAAGCTGCCAAACCCTATCCTGGCGAGCCGACCGAAGCCAACACCCGGACCCTTTCGCTAAGGAAGTTGTCCTAAGTCTTCAAGCACCCTGCTTAGGTTAAGGTATATTCCTAAAGCTGAATAAACACATCCTTGAACACCTACTGTGGGTTTGGAGGCTTTGAGTCCTTGAGCTAGAAATACATTGAGGATCCCTGAGCAACGATAATGATGGTACTAGTACGTGTTCTGTCTCCTACATTGCAAGACTGCAGCGAGCATCTTGACTACCAATTTGTTGCAATGCAACCCACAGCAGCGGGGTTTCTAACCACCCTAAGAAGGCAGGTTTCGTTGGCTCGGACTCCTGTACAAAAAGAGGCATAACAACACTCCGCTGTCTAAACCTTACTTTTACATGAAAGCCCGTGTTTATCAGGTGCTCTGGGCTCTGGGCGCAAGGTAATCGAGCCGAGTTGCTGTGCGGCTGCAGAAGGAGCTGGACTTCAGGATGCTGCCACGCCTGTAAAGGGTTTGTGAACGTGTTGATTGGTAGAAGGATCGGGGGTTTGGGTTCGGGGTCTAGGGTTTGAGTTTAGGGCTTAGGCTGAGGGTCTGGCGGCAGCAGCTGACATTTCAGGGTTCAAGCAGGCCTTTGGGGCTCAAGCTTCATGCATTTTTATTGGGGTTGGGGAACATTGTTTTGGTTTCAGGAATCGGGCCTTCAAGTGTAATTGTGGCGGGGCCCCCTGTCTAATGGCGTCGGATTCAAGGGACAGAACCATAAGTGTACTTGCGTACGGCAGCTGTTGGGGCTTCAGCGTGGTTGTAGAATAGGTTTTCGCGCTCGAGGCCTAGCCGTAGGTTGGGTGGCATGCGCCTCGTCATCTTCACGCACATCATACACATCTCTATGTTTATGATGTGCGGATTTAGAGTACAAACACTACATAAAATGCTTACATGTACATGCACATGTGTATGTGTTTATGTTTGGCCATTGAAGCAAGCAGAGGAGAGTAGGCTACAAGAGCCCGCACGCTGATTGATTCAGAAGTTCTAAAGGTCTCACTGCTGCCAGTTCTACAGGTCCTCCACATACGATGCAGGAGTATATCTATGCCCTCGACGTCAAGACCGTGGTCATCTTCAACCTGAGTCTCACACACTCCCCAAGCCCAAAGCAAGATTGTGAAGGAGTATACATTGCTAAGATTTTGAGTGTGCCCCTTATTAAGAGGGTTATGCTGGTCCGTAGAGCCCTTTAGTTCCACACAAGCCCTCGCAAAGCCGGACAAAGGCAGCACAGAAAACTCTAAACAGCCCAAACAAACTCTGAACAGAAACCCAACAGCCCGCCTCCCCCTCCAACACCAAAACATAAACGACTAAGTATCACATAGCGATGAACACACATTCCACCAAAGCGAAGCGAAACAACACGGCATAACCTCTGTCATAAGTACAAACGAACTCCAGCCCCGGCACACACCCCCCGCCTGAGCGGCGCTTCGTTTGGCTGCCTCGCCTCGCTTTGGGCTTCGGCTTCGGCCACCGGCTCCCGATCCTGAGCTGAAGCTTCCAGAAAAGGGGGGGCGGAGGGGAGGGCAAAAAATGGGTTTTGGAGGTCTTGAAGACGGGGTTCAACAAGTCTGCGCAGGTTGGGATCAAGCTTGTCCTAGGGCTTTGAAGGATTCGACAAGGGCAATGTGACGGGTTGAGGCTTGTTTTTTGGTGGTGATTATGGGTTTAGGGCTTTGCTCGGTTCGGGTCCCGGGCGGGCTTTAAAACTTTCGTCTTCGCGGTTTAGTGAGTGCAGTGCTAAGGATACAGGAGGGAGAGGGTTGGCTTCGTTAGTGGTGTCAACAGTGCTTGCAAAGTGCTTTACAGGCTTACGATTCAGCAGTTATATAGGGCTCTGGGAATGGAGCATGGGGCGTCTAGGGCCTAGGGTGCTTTATGTGAGTATTGTGGGCATATTCCCTACGAATAGTGCTGCTTTATTAGCACTCCTGCGCCTGGTGTAGACGGAGGTTTCGGAAAGATTGTGAACATGATAGAGAAGCCTGGGGAAGCATATGATAATTGAGCAGGCCCCTACATCAAAGCCTTCAACCCTGAACCTGAACGGCAACTCCTGCACAGCCCTGTATACCCCAGAGAAACCTTGTAACAATCGATGCTTAAAACCCATGCAAAAAGAAGACACATTCGTTGCAGGGAGCCCCTCCGAAGGAGACGGACTTGCGTCGGAGGCTTTGGGACCTTTCAAGCTCGGGCTCCTGGAGACATCGGGATCCACAGGTCTGCAAGGGTCCACACGGCTTTCGAAGGCTTGTCTCACTACGGCTTTCAAGGACTTCCTTCGGGCTGCAGAGCGTCTTTAGGGAGCCAAGGATGTTTAAAGATTGGCAAGGGGTTGTATAGGAGCATCCTCACACTGCTTCAGGTCCTTTATGCGTCTGCTCTTCACAAGCGTATATGGTTCGCTTTCCAACGTGCTTCATGACGTCGGTGCTAGGATCAGGAGGTTACTGCTGAAAGCTTTACGGATATGGTTTTGCAGCTGCGGAGCATTGAAGCTTTCGAGGTGATTGGGGACATACATGCTTTGAGCATCAGCGGAAAGGTTGCACTCAATCCTTACAAAAGCGGAAGGAAACCACACTCATTTAAGACAAACCCATACATCACACACCCGGTCAAAGCCCGCAAACGAAAAACCGTACAGAAAACTGTAAGATCCAAATGTGAACAAGATTGAAGTTCTCGCTTGAAACAAGATCTAGAGAATCTACAAACACACCCTAGCTTCACGCCCACCGACCCAAAGCAATCGCCTCCTCGAGTCTTGCCGCCTGTGCTATGGCCTGCCGCAGTTCGCGGTGGGCAGCTTGGTCTGATAATTGGCGGGCCTTCTCCTCCAAGGAAGCTGGCAATTTTCCAAGTAGAAGCCCTAAGATGTGGACTAGGGTTTCGGGGTAAGTTGTGATGTAGCTGTAATTAACGAGGTCCTGCACAGAGCATCCTTTATGGGGGGCTCGTAGAATCGTAGAACGTTTATACGATTTTCTCAGTTTCAGAGTTGCATACGGCAATTGAAAGCCTGTTGATATTGGTTAATGATGTCTTTAAGCTTCCAATATAAAGTTCCCATTGTTTATGAAAACCTCATGGACTGGGGCTTGGGGTAGGTACTAATGATAGCTTTGGCCCAGCACTCGATTCGGGCGCCAATAGACAACAGATGAATCCCAAAGGCGTAGGTGGTAGTTTTCAGTGGTCCATGCTCATAATGGCTACTCAAAAGTATCAGAAGCAAGGGACTCCAGCCCCAGCATATACATATCATTGTTGGATCCTGACTACAAGGACCCCCAAAGCAGGTGCCCAGAGTTTGAGAGGCTACAAACCTCGCATGGTGACAAAAACAGTCCACCCAAGCACTGCTGAGCCGTCTCCTGCGCTATACGCGCCTTCCTTTCGGCCTCCGCGTGCTCACGCCGCATCTCCTTGCGGTTCAGGATGATTGGGTTAGGGGTGGTACCGTGGTATTCTTTGGTTTCAGGCAGGCGGGCGACTCCTAAGTACGGCAACCGAGCCCGAGAAGGCCCCCATGATCAGTCCACGTGCCACAAACCCGACAGTGTCTCACATGTCTCAAGATCGTGCAAGCACTGCAGAAAATCTTAGCCGGACCCACTCAACCAAGTAACTCTGCGATCTCGGCCTGATTATGCTACCGAGCGGCTATACACCAAATATAGGATAGTCTTCATTGTATGCCTGCTTGGGCCCCTACTCAGCATGACATCCAAGCCCCGGCGACAACCCTGTAAAGCCGACAAAGCACAAAAACTCCAGACTCCTCGATCCAGGATTGACCGCGCTGGATCTGCTGCTGTTGGATGCGATGGGCAACGACGAAGCTAGCTTCGCTTGGGCTCAGCGAAGGGCCTGGTCCGGTTTAGGGGTTTAGGATGGTTTGGAAGTCGGGATTCAGGGTTGAGAGCCTGCAGGACTCAGGCATCATGGGGTGTAGGACCTAGAGGGTTTGAGCTAGTTTCCGGTAAGTTTTTGCTTAGTTGGGATTGAGGGAGCCATCCCGGCCAGAACTGGCTTCGGGGCGGTGGCCGCTCACCTCGGACTTTAATCAGCATCCTAGGATTTCAAAGCTCAGAGCTGAGCGCAGCGTGGCTACTGACAATTGTGAGCAGACTCCTGCTAGGTGTGCGCAAATAAACAATCATCGAAACAATAATCCTAAGAACTTAGCCAAAGCGGGTAGCATTAAATGCATTTTGCAACTAGGAGTTCCGTCTGAGCATCTTTACACTCACGGTCCGACTATGTAAGCTTCCGCACTGGACCCCCCATCTTCTGAAACTCCCATCTTACACCTTGTGGCGAAATCTTGTCTATACGACGAGCCTCCACGCACAAGGGGTTTCGGTCCCTTCTATGGCGAACTGTGGTGATTACAGTTAAATTTATGCACGGATGGGGTGCATTCAGCAAAACTTTGTGGGCTTTGAGAAACCAACCTTGGAAAACCAACACTACGCCCAAGCTGCCAAAATCAGTTTCCAACATCCATGCATCCTAATCCGCTCAACATATCTGCCGGTACTTGGAGAGGCTGGGGCATCTCAAACCCGGAGAGAACCATACCTTTGCATAAAGGAATAGACTTTTAAACTGTAGATGGCTTAGAGTCTAGGTTAAGTCTATTAGTCTGTTCCTTCGGTGAGATTCTTGGGCCGAAGGCTCAAAATAGTTCTGCAAATTCTGATATCACGGGTATACTCTCACTGCTGGACAATACCCCGCAGTATCCTAACTCTCATGCTTTGGGGTACCTGGGAAATGCTGGACTTTGGTCACCAGCAGTATGACGCGGTATTCATCCAGCTCTCAACACAATAGCTGCTGTAAAAATCCTAAACAAGACCGAGAGATCTCTTACAAGCATGCTATTCTAAGAAGCTTGTAATGACCCCAAAGAGCCTTCCATGACTAAGATATGAACACACGCCCGCAAGAAGGTCCTCAATTCGAAACCCGACACCCCCAAACCTAATCCCGCAGTCCAAAGCCCCTAACCCCAAAACCAAATGCCTTAAATAACACTTGGTGCAAACACTTATCAAGCCATATCAAGCCCTTACGCGAACATCTTTACATCCCCAAAGCCCAGGAGACCCCCGAATTCCTAAAGCCCAAATCCTGAAGGCATTTCTATCTTACAGATCCCCCTGCAGCTTCGCATCAGCGCCTGGGTCGGCACGAGGCTTCGCCGGTGCGGACTTCGGTCTCGGTTTTGGCTGAGCCTCCACGAGGCCATTCCAGGGGTCCTTGGGGTCTCCAGGGTCTACTGTAGGTTCGGGCTAAGGATCTTGGGGTTCGGGGTTCAAGATTTAGGAGTTCAGGGCTTCGGGTTCCAGGCGCGTTGTTGTGGCAAAAGTGTTTTCTTGATCGGTTTCGGGTCGAAGGTGAAGGGCTCTGGGCTTGTTTCTTATGATCGCCCAAGCCAACTCCGCCGTGGTTCCCATGTATTCATCGGCCATGCAGACACATACATAAATACATACATACTTGCATAGATGACAGACCAGTGGTAGATGAGCAAGTAGATAGATAGGTACACAAACAGACTCACATAGACACATAGACTTTAAGATAGGCAGAGAGTGAGGGAGTCGCGCATGCTCCCGAAGATAGCAAGCAAACCAATTGACAGAATCGAATTCGCGGCCAGACTTGAGGGGATCTGAGCAGTGTAGTCTGTCATGATGTCGCGCAGCGCGGGTTCCAAGACGACTATATACTAAAGCCAGAGGCTTGACCCGAAGTCTCGAAATTCCGATATCCGACCAAAACACTTCGGTGCTAAATGTCTTCAGGCTCCTTCGGGCCTTGAAGCGGGGATTCCGAGTTTAGGGATCTGGGGTTAAGCTTGCAAGGCTCACTGTTGATGCTCTCTTGGACGTTCATGTGAATTTGCACATAGGGCTACACGTGTGGTAAATACCGCAATAGTCGGTTGAAGGTAAGTTAGATATACGGTTGGAAGTGCACAGAACCATACCTCGACTTTCGGCACCTTCGGGTAGTTTTCCATAACCCTTCGATTCTTCCTGTGGGCCTTGGCAACGTTGCACAGTTGCTAAGCTACATAGACATGATCGCAGTCTGCAGTGCAGTCAACGACAAGGCTCAAGTTCTCTAAGTCACTCAAAACCCAAACAATGAACTGGACGAACACCCGAGGCATACAAGCCTTAGACCCACCTGAAGCCGCGTGTCCCAACCATTCTCGAGCTCACCGGACATCATCTGCCAACCCCTCTCCCTCTCGTCCGCCACGGCCTGCTGGCTTATGAGTCTTGAAATCCTTAGCATGACTACCGACTGCGTTATAGAACAATGGCATTGTTCTTATCAAACGATCAAACGGTGAAACACCACTCCACTCCTTCTTCCTGGATGCCTGGATTTACGAGGTTTAGTGTTTAGCATCACGGTCTTATGTGCCAGGTGCAAAGCTTGCTCGGAGGATCATGGGGTTTCTTACAACAGGTAGCCTGGTTTGGGGCTAACGACAGCGCCTGTCTAAAAGTAGTTGATCCCTGAAACCTTTAACGGTTCTTTCGTTCCGCTCTGTTCGACTCCACTTGGATTTCATGCGACTGCACTAAAAACATGAATGAAAGCGTTTAGGCAGTGAGAATAATTAGACTCAATACGCATGGCTGCAACCCTGATGATGATCATACTTGCGACCCTCCTCATTACAATTCTGAATCTCATCCAGCAATGCGAAAGAGACCCACTCCAACCCCAGCAAGGTCCGACAAAGGCACATAACACTGGCCACCCGTTGTACTTGTAGCTGTCGTCCCCTGCAAGTCTAACAAGGTAAGAGTCTATGTCAGAAACCCCAAACCTTGTGCCCTGCACCCAGAGAAAAGCTGGAACACCAACTCGATGTCCTACATCGTACGCACAATTGCACGATGCAGTCCGGAAGACCAAAACTGTGAAACAATAGAGAACTGAAGCACTGCACACCCCAAAACTCTTACACGACGCTGTAAACTCTGAACCCTGAACCTCTCAAACCCTTAAATCAGTCCTGGGGATGCAGTGCATTGGTCGGATGTGCTTCCACCCCACATCCGGGGGCCTGTTGCATGTTCTTGGGGATTCCCACACAGCCCAGAGAGTGTGCACATCTGCGTCTGCCAGTATGTAGATGTCTCCATGCGCACGTTGTGTAGCTATGCAGAAGACCAGAGCTGCATGCCTTGCACGTGCAGATTAGTGCAAACTATAAGGTAGGGTTGAGGGTGGGCCCCTGCATTGTGAAGGGGTCTTCATGTTCAGGAGCTGTACTTCTCGCAACTCCCGTTTAATGTACATCAATTGTAAAGCCTCTGCTACTGGCATCCACACAAGGACACGCCACTCTACACTTACCAATGTTCTCAGGAGCAGCAAGAACACCACCAACACACCGACATCAACCCTACTGCAAGGGGGTTTGGGGGTTCGGTGTTCGGAGAAAAACCCCGAATCCGGGCCTTCTCTGTACTCCCCACGGCGCTGCTCGCGCACGAATCGGCGTCCAGCCGCATGACAGCGAGGATGTCCTGTGCAGGTAGATGATGTCTACAACGATACACAACAATACCCACATCCGAAGACAAGTTGTTGTTATTGACGTTGCAAAACATACGACGAAGAAGAAAGTTGTAAGAGTTGGCAAACTATACTCACACATACACATAGCTAAATAGGTAGATAGACAGATGGATGGACGGATAAAGAGCGAGACAGACAGACAGACTGACAGACAGACAGTTCGATCGACCGACTCGACCGATAGATAGATGCACAGACAGACTGACCAACAGACAGGTACATAGATAGCTCGATAGACAGATAGACACATCGACAAACAAACAGATACATAGATAGATCGATAGACACATACATACATAGACAGATAGACTGATTGATAGATCGATCGGTAAACATAATATATAGGCATATATCTACAACTAGGTCGGTAGCTTGAAGATATATGCAGGGTAAGTACAGGTGCAGCAGTGCTGAGTTTGGGGTGTAGGGGCTCCGGGCGCAAGGTTCAACTGTTGTGCGATTTTGGGGTGTGTAGGGCTGAAGGCTTGTGGGAGTTTGGGGTTTCAGATTTGAGGGTCTGGGGTCTCGGGTTTATGGGACGGGAGGTTGCAACCGCGCATCAGAAACCTTGCAGCAATTTCCACCTGTATGGAACTGCGCAATCGTTCTTGGCAGAGGCGTGTCGAATCCCTCAAAGCCAAAGCCAAAGCCCGAATGCACAGCGCAAAAGCGACAGCGATCGGGGTACAACCTTCCAACGCCAGAACCATCCTAGAACCCCTGGCCCCTAACTTGAACCCGAAAACCTCTACAACTCTGAACAAAGCCGATACGCTGCCAGGTTTTGCGAAGCCAAGGCTTGCAGGAGAGTGCTACCTAGCGGGAGTTTGAGAGTTGAAGGTCAGGCTTTGGGCTTTGCTCAAGGCTTACTTAAGGGCTTCCAAGGGTTTAGGGCCTAGTGGGGAGTGCGGGTTGCAGATTTTGCAGCTTAAGACGGAATTAGGGTTGTAGGCTTTGTTACAAGGCTTGAAGGTCTGTGTGCGCTGGGTGGTTGGTTGTAGGCTATGAGCTGTTGGAGATTCAGTCTGTCAACAATAAGGCGCCTACTGTTTTCTGACGTCCCCTAGCATGCCTCATGGAAGAGTCCAGCGCCTTGGAACCCAAGATGCAACTGACAAGAACATGCTTCCGCAGACTCTAGGGCTGTTCAAGGTTTTTAGTGTTCTATGCAGCACCCCCCGCCTTGCCGCCTGGTGGTTTACAGGGGTTCTGAAGAGCTTGACAGGGCAGTTTGGCTGGTACAAAACTCAGCTGTCTAGTGGTTTACAAAAATTGCAGGGATCGTAAAAACTTCTGGTCTTGGTGCTCTGCAGATCAACCCCAGCTGCGTGCCAATCAACATTGACTAATTATGACGAACTCACGGTGTTGGGCTCAAGTCATTGCTTCGGCACCTGCGCGATTTGCGGTTAGTTTCGGGCGGTCGTGGCCGAAATTCGAGACCTAAGCCCTGCACTGTCGAGAGCGCCGCTGACGGTTTACAGAGCCAGCAGGCCTTAACCTGTAAACAGTCCTCACAAGGGTCAAACCCCGGACTGAATCCTTGGCGCTTATAAAGCCGTACTTAGCAGCCACACAGTTAAAACAGTAGCACTAGAAATCATAGCAACAGCACTCGTGCCAGAACTAGTACTACCGCAAGAGGAGTCAAGCTTCTGTTGGCGGAGGGAATGGAGCTCGCCGGTGGCGGATCTCCCGTCGCCTAGGGAGGAGCCCAGGGTTCGGTTTGTGCTTTTTCGGGCCACGTTCAGCGCTTTAGGCTTTGAGGCTTTGGGGCTTTGGGGCCTGTGGTTTCAGGGGTGTGGTTTTAGGATTGAGGGTGTTTGTGGGCCGGAGTGTTAGGGTTTCGGGTTTCGATAGGGCTCTGGGGTCTGGGCTTGGGGTCCACGACTTGGGGGCTTCTGGTTTTAGGGTTTTCAGGGTGCTTCGGGCTTAAGGGGCCTAGAGTTCTATGGTTCTTAAGGGCCTCAGGGTGTAAAGTGTTGAATCTTAGGACGAAGTGTCGAAGAAACGAATACATGTGTACAGACACAGGGTAACCTGCTTGGAGGCTCCTTTGACTTAGCAGGTGGGGTTAGTCAGACGAGCTATGGGGATCATTCAGTCGTGAATGGTGGTCAGGAGATACTGAGTCGACCTACTATGTCGAAATATAAAGAGCAGCATTGCAAGGAAACCAAGCCTACATTCGGGATCCTACACCAAAGAACCATGAGATACACTGCCAGGGAGCATCTGATGTCGGCTTGTGCACCCGCTGCGGACAGCTCACCTCACCACAATCTGAGGGCTCCAGCATGCAGCTTGAAGATCCTTTCGGTTTCTATTGCACCACGCTTTGAGCACTGTCATCAACAACGCTCCACCATGCTCCACCGGAGCACAACACGGGTAGTGTTCCGACTTGTGGGATCTTGTGGGATTCAGTGAGGTTTACACTGAGCCACCTTCGACATGCGGTACAAGTCACAAAGAACAAGCCCTTAGAGCCTGAGATGCATGCCCCTTGTTCAAGTGTGGATTGATTATTCCTTGCCGAAATCCCAACGACCGCGAAGCTAGCGAACTGCAGCAGTAATGCAGCAATAGTACGAAGAGGCACAAGCCTAAGTAAAGCAATGATAAAGCGGCTAAGAAGAAGAACAGTAGCAAGACTCCGCATGATAGCAGTACCAATAGAAGTACCAGTGATGATAACAGAGATCGTGTCTTGCGGAGGCTGCTGGTACACTGAATAACAGTTAAGAAACACAGACAAATGCACCTACAGGCCTAAATATTGCAATCGTACATGAGAAGCTAGCATATCAACATATTGAACAAAGGAGCCAATACTTACTACATACCGCAATGCAACCTGTCCCAATTTTTTGGTCGGTATGGTTGTCGCTGCTGGCCTGGCCAATGTCAGGCAGGCGAAGCTGTAATTCAAAGTGTTTGTGGTTTGGGGTGTTGACGGTTTCAGGTTTGACGCCTTTCGCACACAGTTCCGGAAGCGTTTGAACGTCTGGGCTGGAAAGGATTCGGAACATCGAGGCTTGGAGCCCACTCGAGGCCATGAAGCTGCAGTCGCGAAACTTGAGGAAGCACGGGCACCTAACAGAGATCCGGGATAACAGGACCCTCAACGCTTGAAATGTTCATAAAGCCTAACCCTGAACCCTGAGCTCTCTAAAGCCTGAAAACCTTAGCTTCCAGTCCAAGTCTCTGCCAGATGCGAATCCATCCTCATCGGCTCGTAGTTGTGGGAGGCAGCGTGGAAAGCCAGCACCGGATCCATGACCTCATGTTGGCATCCTTAAACCCTTGACCTCAACAGTACTCAGTACACCCTTAAAGATTTGAATCTTACGCCGCTAAGGAGCTTTGAACTTTGGGTCTGGGTTTACTTGCAAGCTGACTGGATTTCGCAAGTAAGCGGGTTAAAACGTAGGCGAACAAAAGACTATATAGTAAGGATGACCTGACAAAGGTTTGATACCTGTGATCCTCAGGAGGGATTGGGATGGATTAGGTGTACAGCAAGATAACAAATCTTACCATGCAGGTCCCCATTCTGACTTCCCGGGACCCCAGCGACAGATTAAATCCGGGACCCCAGGGACAGATTAAATTTCTGCTTGGACTTTCCTTCTACTCAGTAGGCAGGGTTAGTTGTAAGGTGGGTGGCGTGACTGCTACTCGGGCTTCAGGGGATATTAGGCAGACTTTCCAAGTCAACAGCGTCAGCAAGTAGCATGTAGATATCCCAGTCCACAAAATACACACATACACAATGTCCTCACTGCCCTCGTATCAGGTCAGATCCGCCTCGGCCACGACGGTCTCCAATCCAGCATGCGCAACCTGTGCATCTGGAGCGGTTGGGTTTTGACGGCCTTTCCGTTGTTGCAGGTGCGCGCTCATCTACTCGGGTTACTTACAACTTGAAACAAGGGTGAGTGGGGCTATGTACCTGGACGAGAACGGTACGATCCTTCCCACCCGACGTGCAATGATCACACTGCAAACGCGATTCCCTGTCAAGGTCCGCGACTGCAACCCGACCGGTGTAAGTACTGAAGCGGGAAACCGTTGGCCTGCAAAACCTGCATGCTTCAGGGTTTTGTGGGTCCCGAGCTGCTGGGCCTAAGACCAGAAGCGAATCCAAAGGGCCTAAACAGGTGGTCTATATGACACGGTATTGAGGGGGAGGAATTGTAAATCGGTAGTGTGACGAATGGACTCCAGCCCGCCTTGATCAAGCACCGTAAAACCATGGCGATTCTGGTGCAAATTCCTTCTCATGCATGATGCAAGATCTTTTGGCATGAACCTCATAGCCGATGCCCTCCCCCTTGTCAGGACTGGGCTGTACAGTTGTAGATTTTCGAGTTTTCGGACAGGTCTGGTAGTTTGAGGTTTGCACCTAAGCCTCAAAGATGGCCTGGCCTCGGCCAGGGCAAAACTCCCTGGGGAGATGGAGTCGTTGTACTCCGACGGTGAGCATGCCAGGTCCTGTTCGACAGTCAGAGTCCGGGTGCTGTTTTGAGCTTTAGGGTTCCGAGGCCTGCAGCAGTTAATCTGAAGCAAGGAGCTGGGGCTTTGGCCTGACCGATCCACGAGCCTACAGCTGTGTATTTCCGTGGAAGACTCTAAGAAAGTCAGCAAAATACTGCATTAACAAGGAACAGAGCCCAAAACATCTGAACGCCGCAACAACTGTCCTAAATAAAGCTCAGACAAGCTTTGGGCGCATAGTGCAGACTCCTTTGGAAGATTTAGATTCAGGGCCGCACGATCGTGCGTAGGAACAAACTTCAGGAAGTAAACACAGACCGACGAGCCTGATGTAACCTCTGATCAACAAGCGCCCTCCTTCAACTAAGAGTTCAACAGGGATCCAAACAGGAACCTCGAGAAGGCCGGTTGAAACCTACAGTCCCTACAGTCCGAAACTTACACGACACTAGGATCTGCACAGTAGAATGACCTGTGTCTAGCGAGTCTAGCGCCCTCAGCCGAAAACAGCCGATTTATATCCCTGTTCAGCCGGAATTGTTTAGGCAAGAAGCGCTCTCAGCAGTTTCAGGAAGGGCTGCCGTGGGCAGGAGGACCTCGGTGAGCATATTAATGTTGAGCTTATCGCTCAGGCTTTTTGGGGCTTGGGGCTTGATCCTACCCTGGTGCTATGCGCACTGGTAGGATACCCTCGGGGGATTTTGTAAAAGGGTCTAGGCCGGCTACTCTGAAGCTTCACCGGCACGAAGCCTCCCATTTCTCTTTCTTGGAGGTTCGAAAGAGCAATGGACCCGCTGATTAATCAGACCCTTCTTCCAGGGTCTTAATGTCAGGATGCGATTTAAACATATCTTTAAGGAAGGCTTTCAGATTGGAACTGCGGTCTACATAGTCATAGCCTCTTCGATCGTACTTCTGACTCTCAGTTTAAACCGACCCACGAACCTCCCCGAAGCGATCCACAACTAGATTCGAAATTCCTATTCGAGTAGAAACTCACACCTCCTTGCTCGGTTTGCAGGACAGCTTATCTGCCTTATCTTCCAAACCAGGCTCTCACAGCACAAGGGTCTGAAACTCTTCCAAAACAAAACCAATGCGTGGGAAACTAGCTAGCCGACTAGCCCACAGATGCAGACAGATTTTGTGAACAAGTCTGGATTTTCAGAGTGAGGCTCGTATGGCCCCGCTAGGTGTTGATAACCCTAGACCCTCATGTGTATGGGATGGTATGAAGGTCCGGGGCGTTGGTTGGGAGGCTCCGAAACCTCTCGCTTGGGGCTCAATGTCTTGCTCAAAAAGAAGTATTCCTGTGAGTCCAAATCTTATCCGTCACCCTAGACCCTGTTAGGAAGCTCAGGGATCTAGCAAGGTAACTGCAGCAAAATGTCTAAGCTCTAACAGGCGCCCATCCTCAACGCACCAAAGCCCGAAAGTCTACGAGATATCTCCTAGACCCTAAAACTCTAAATCCCTGAGCCCTGAAGCCTAACTAGACCTGAAGAAAACAAAGGACCTAAACTATCCTAAACTTGCCAAATGCCTAACAACCGACAAAAGACCCACCGTCATAAATCCTTATAGCACCCCTGTATAGTAGAAGCCCAAAAGTTGGAAACCCCGTAGCCTCAATCCTTAAGAGTAATGTTTAGGGAATCCCAGCACTATTTGGCCTTAATCCGGTAGCCAACTTTATGGGGTTTACTATAAACCCTGTATATCGCATCCCATAGAACCTCATAACAAAAAACCCATGAAGCCCCAGACCTCCTCCGTCTGAGGAGATGAGATGGAGATACTTGGGACCGCCTCTTGTGCACTTGCTTTCTAAGTGGCTGTTTTTGAATGTAATTGGGCTTTGCCAGGTTTTACAAGGTTGGGTAATTGGTTGAGAGTATAGGAAAATCGTTGATTAAAGGTCTTCATAATGAGCTATAATGAGCTTCCTAGCACCTCAAATGCGCACTCAAGGCTTGGGACACTGTGTGTTTAGGGTTCAGTTGCGAAGGCATTGAGGTGAATTTGTTGGAGTGTCGGAGAAGTTGGAGGATTAGTGCTTCTGCGTATGGTGAAAGCCTGTGGCAGCCTTTGATCTGCTGCCGGCTGCAGCAGGGTCCTCAACGACAGTGATGGATTCGTGTTTCCATCGTGGCAGTGTACATCTCTCATACAGCGCCAGGATGATTAAGAAAATGATGAGTAAGAAAACCACGGGTTGAATTTGGGCGAACATTTGCTAGAATCTGAGAGAACGACCCAGGACGAGAATGGGAAATCTAGGGAATCTAGGGTCGCCTGCCCCCGAAAGCTGATATGCTATTGAACCTCTGACAAGCTATCCCTAAAACCAAGCAGAGGGAGCCTTGAAGTTTGGAGCTTAAGGATGTATGGCTTCAGGTTCAAAGGGTCAGGAGTGAGAAAGTACCGCGCAAAACAATTGACACATCCGGCCCTTGATGTTCTTATGTCCAGGCTTTTGGCCGGACCATCCAAACTCAGGAACATAAGAAATGAAGCCGCTGGATGTCTTACTTATTTTATCTCAGGGTCTTGTGGCCGGACCGCCCAAAAGGAACATGAGAAATCCAGCCCCTGGACATAGTATTTCTAGGGTCTTTGGCCGATCACAAGGAAAATGAGAAACCCAGCCCCTGAGTGTAGTATTTCCAGGGTTATTAGCTAAACCGCCCAAAAGGACAACAAGAAACCCAGCCCCTGGATTTAATTTTTCATTGTGGGTGGTTCCGGCCCTTCGTCGGGCCGGACCGCGAAAAAAAACAGGAGAATAAGTATTTCTGCCCAATGTCACGATAAGAAATCTAGGGTATCCTGAACCTGGCGGTTGTCACTCACGACCCACCAAGCGCTGTCTGAACAAGAACTCCATGGTACCCTGCCTCCGCTAAACGAGTTTCTTATCCAAAGCTCTCACTGTAGTTCTAATGCAGCAAGAAAATCTTCAGAGGGCTATGAACACGCGATTGCGAACCCTGAGCAGCTTGTTCTCCAGGGCAGATGAAAACACAAACAAGAGGAGGTCCTGAATCAGGATCCTGTTGAAAAGTGAGCCCGCTTGTTAAGGCATGCAACCGATCTATCCTCCGGCCGTGACCTGCAAGGCTTGGCAAGCAGGCGAGTTCGCATTCGATATTTTGTCCCTTCAGCCATGCAGGGCTTATCAACATGGGGATCTTTGATGCCAAAAATATCAAGACCCGATTTGTAAATCTACATTCAACAACTCTCAACGGGATCCCTGCAACCTGATCCCTGATCACAGAACCGCCTTGGACGAGACTGCCGGCACTCTCGACTGCACATCCTCCTCGAACTCGTCCTCCTGCTGTGCGGCTATGTTTATTCCTTCGCACTTCTACTTCTACCTCACTTCAATTCTTTGCTGCTTGTGCTACCCCCACTACTACCACTACTTGTACCACTACCACTACTACCACCAGCACCTGCATCAGCGCCACCACGACGACGACTACATACTACCACTACGACGACGACTCCTACTCCTGCTCATGCTCCTACCCCTACTCCTACTCCAACTCGAACTGGAACAACGACGACGACAACAACAACAACAACAACAACAACAACAACTACTACTACTACTACTACTACTACTACTACTACTACTACTACTACTACGACTTTCTACTACTACCACTACCACGACCAGTACCACTACCAAGACCACCACCACCACCACCACCACCACCACCACCACCACCACCACCACCACCACCACCACCACCACCACCACCACCACCA